TCAATAAACTTGAATATCATCAATTATTAGTACTTAATTAATTAAAATTTATCCTTAATTCAATGATGTCGATCTCTGTAAAGTAGCTTATGATTAGTCAATGCACGATGTCATTTCAATATTTTTTAGCAATATCAGATACAGAACTGAAGAAAACAAGGGCTATATATGTATGGAGAGAGAAAGCGATTTTACTGCTATATACAAGTTAACACATATATTATAAATATTCATCATATCTGTTGGTATTCTAATTTGCAATCCGGTAACTTTTAAAGTAAAGAGATAGTCTAGACCTTTCTTATTGGTTTCTGCTACTCAATTACATAGTATTATAGCATTTTATAAGAAGTTCATATCGCATTATTAATCCAAACTGTAAAGTGAAAACTAACACTTTGATAATTAGATAGCTAAGACTGCTATTAAGTCTATTAAACTTCATAATAAAGTAACTTTTTTTAATAGATGTAACTTATCATGATATTAGAATACCATGTACAACGAAGTATATACTAATTAGTATGTAAACTTAGTCTTGTCGTCAAATAGTAAACTGCTCTTATAAATCTACGTATAATTTTCAGTTGCCAACCGGAATAAAATTCCAGCATTGTTTATGTAACTAGAATCTTCTGAATGTAGTTAGATGAATTACTATCCTACTTGATAAATTTCTAAAATTTAAACTTGCTAGATTTCAAAATTGTAATTTCTTGCAGTATTTTAAAAAAAAGAGAGCAGAATTCTTTAAGTCTTAAGTTAACATAACTTATTAGCACTAAACATTAGGCAAGCTAACTAATTCTAGATCAAATGTTATACATGAATACCACATAGAAAATCTGTTAACATAATTTTTAAAATACTATCAAACATTTTTTAGAAAGGCCATAATTACCGGACTAGACTGAGCTATCAGGTTCCTACACTGCTACAACTACGCTTGCAGCAAACGTAGCAGAAATAAATCTCGATGTTTGTAAGTTTTACGGGAGCTTTTTCTTCTAGAAATAAATTATAAATTCAGCATAAGCTTACTGTAAACACCAATATATTTATTTGCTACATAGAAATCAGAGAAGTAATAATTATTTCTCCGGTACTCACTTCTAGACTTTTATGCCGTCATATCATGAATTATAACGTCTTATTCATCTTATAGGCTAGTCGAAATTTTACTTATTACTACTTTAACTTGAAATAAAAATTACATTCATCGCCATGCAATTTCTATTAATTTCATATCACTACGGTTAGTACCTGTTGTAGTCCTCTAAACTAAGAATAAAACAAAATTAGGCCTTCATAACGTACTAGTTACGTTCCATGTCTTAACATGTATAAATCTTAGAACTGTCTAGTAACCTTACAGTTGAAGAGTGAACTAAAGTTAGTATCATCGGACTTCGCTGTTAGATAGTTTCTTATAATACCACTCTAATAACGTCTTAATAACATCAGTTTACTACTACTGTGCCCGATATACAGGCACAGAATATTCTTATAAGTCCAATAGTCTATTTCTTTCTACTGAAAATAAAAAATATAGTACTTTATCTCATCTAGCTAACTGCTTAGCATAATATTTCACAATCGTGACGAAGAGTTTATCTTAATCGAATTTAAACATCTTTATTAATTATCTTTTATCTTTGGATAAAGTCTCACACTCACAAGATCTACTTTCTTTCAGGGCTTGCTCAAAAGATTAATTTTGCGCAAAACAATTTGATTGCTATTTAGAGATTTATGATTTCGAAATTTATCATGTTTGCAGTTTAATTAGTCGCACTGCAAGGCTAATTTTTTAACAAACCTACAAATCATCAGTCCAGACATACAAAGTATATCAGTTAATAATAGAAATAGCAAAAGAAGTTAACAACATTGTTAAGCAGATTACAGTTATTACTGCTCATAATAGGATTTGTTCCTAATCTGTTTCTCATTATAAGAGTATTTTAGAAAAGCTATATTTGATATTACAATACTAACCACTTCTACTTGAGGCAGTGAATATTCTTTTAAAGTGGATTAGCGATTGTAAGCGAAATCAATTTAATCACATCGAATTATCTGTAGCTTATATAACGAATAAAATATACAGTTAGAGTTTATTCTTGCTGACTATCTTTAAAACTAGAACTTTTATTAACAACAAAAGAGGCTTATTAAGATAATAGATTTTAATTCTTACAACACAAAACACCAGATATTCCTGAATGATAATAGTAAGCTTTATTGGTTCTAAAGGAAGAAACACTGGTCGCTGTATCGATAGTTCCACCTGTTAAGCAAGATGTTCTTTGATTGGAGGTTTTTCTAGGACATGTTCTACCCACACCACCTAAATCATCATGGTATGTTTGATTCTTGCAGTAAATACATTGTCCAAGATCATGAGCTGCATTAAATGCATAACATCCAGCGATTTGAGCGTCATGCGAATATGTGATCTTGGAAAGTAGGGATGCTTGGTCATTTTTATTGCATAGATGATAACCACTAACGCACAAAGTTGCGTTACTTATATGCCCTCTCTAACCACCTGGGCAAGCAATGACTGATATCTTATAGACTTTAAGACCGATCAAACTATTTCTACAGATTGATGGCTTCACTATTGAAGATTAAGAACAAGAGTAAGTATAATTTTACTAGTAACTAAGATTAAAGAAATCGACGGGTTATAGTTATTCGAGTCAATGAAGCTGAATTTAAAATGTTTTACTTCGTTTGACATAGTCCACCTGAGGGTTGAAATTCATATTTAAATTGAGTCGTAGACACAAATTTTTATCAAAAACCGCACTTCGGATTCGATGATCTGTTACCATAGCAGACTGAAAAATTTGGCGGATATATAGCGGATATATAGTCGTTAACTCTAGGAATTAAACTGTGTAATAAATTTTTTCAAATGAAATAGCTGTAATTATTATAAATATATAAACAATAAATTACCGTAAACCTAGTTAGACCGAGTAGAGCGCACAGGAGAGAAAGAAAAGTCTTCATATTTCACTAATGGATTATTAGTACTGGAAAATGAACAAAAGTCAAAAATCTGGACGATGAGGTTGATCAAAGTAATATTTCAGCCAATATTTCAACGCCTTTCCAATTTCAGTAATAGGATAGAGAAATAGTGGGATATATGTTCTGTCGATACATTAAGGCACTAGTTATAAGTAGACCCTGTCAGTTCCAACTATTACAATATAAATAATATTAATAACTATTGCGCCAATTTAAGTATCAACATAAACTCAGATATCATCCACTTATCTACGTCTAACTAAAATTTATTATTAAATCGATAATGTTGATATTATAAGAAAAGTAGATACGTACGTGTTTCGCAAGCTTGATGTAGGAAAATTGACAATCTATGTAAAATCTATAATTAAATCGGTATTATCGATGCTACAAAGTAGAAACGTGGAGTGTTTGCCAACTTGGTGCAGGAAAAGATTGAAAGCCTAACTAAAGTCTATAATTGAATCGATTTTGTCGATGCTTTAAAGTAGACAAGCAGATTTTTTGCTAAACTGACATAGAAAAAATTGACAGACTAATCAAAATTTATAATTGAATCGATCATATCGATGCTATAAAGTAGTACATAGAATATTTGCTAGCTTGATGTAGAAAAATTGACGACCTAGCTAAAATCTACAGTTACGGTAAATAGATAATGTTGATGTTCTAAAGTAAATACGTAAGATGTGTTTACTAGGTGACAGTATAACCGTATTTCCTATTTACTGTATCTTATAAAGACGATGGGGTTATGCATTATCAGGCTCTCTATACTGCTACTTTGTGTACAAAGTTTTGGGGAGCTAATTATTCCATAACCTATAGATCTTGTGGTTGCTTACTGTAAATTCAACGACCACCAAAATGCATTTACGAGTATTGTTGCGACAGAATATCTAGATAATCCATTGCAGATCAGTATTATGCAATTCAATAAGCTGTTTTCCGTTTGAGTGATTGAGCTCAGGTAGAGGAATACTCAGCCTTGCATTTATCTTGTTCTACGCTTTTAATCTATTAGCTCAAAAATTGAAACTTTCACAAGTTCTTGAAAGTAAGAATTAGGTATTTGAACACATCCAAAATGAATGCTTGAGCTGATATAACGCAATCCTTAAAATTGTATACTACCGCCTTGACTACAAACGTTAATATTGAAAGGTCCTTAGGATAAAATTACATAATGGATGTTAAACCTCAAGTCATTTATGAAGTTGCATCTATATTTATTTCAACGCCATCGATTGTAGTTCATAATCGAACGTCTATCGGTTTTCGATAATTTAATTAATGAAGCCCCATTCTGTCCTACATCCGAGCCCAACAATTCTTCAAGTTTTCTATCTACTGCTTTGGCCCAGAAAACTATATTACTTAAATTTTCGCATTGTATTGTAATTGAAACTCTATTAAATTTAGTACCTGTCGCTATAATCATGCAGTTATCGTAAACATTGCAAAACAATTTTAGTATTGCCCTGCATAAAATAAAAGAAAATGGTAATGCTAGAGAATTAAAGAAGACTTTATTTTGTAATTGAATTAATGATTAGTATTTTCCAGATCGGGTACAAAATCAATTATATAGGGGTTTTTGATTTCTTCATTTACCGTTTTTACTTTTTATTTTAATCACTGCAAACACCCGTAACATAGATCCGGTAACATCAGTTCGTAATGAATCACTGTTCTTCATAGCTTTAACACGATTAGGTTATGGTTACAATTGCGTAGATTGAGCTTCGTTCTTAACTAAATTTATTCTTTTAACAGCTGAATATTTCCATAAACAAGACAATTACTGCGCTATGGAAGTAAATTAGATATTCTTAAGTGGTATTAATTTTTTTCCATATCAATTTATTGATTTATATCGCTTATGCAACTTCAACATTGTTTAAACTACAACATCAAATAACACGGAGCTTACTAAGATTCTTACTGTAAGTGGATTATTAATTCTTACAGCATAGAACGCCTGATATTCCTGGATGGTAACGGCAACCTTTATTATTATTGGAGGAATTCACATTCGGTGCTGCATCAATCGTTCCACCGGTTAAACAAGATGTACTTTGACTGGTAGTTTTTCTGGGACATGTAACACCAACGCCACCTAAGTCATCATGATGTCGCTTATTCTCGCAGTCAATACACTGTCCAAAGTCATGAGCTGCATTAAAGGCATAACAGCCGGGAATTTTGATGCCATGTGAGTAGCTAATTTTGGAAAGTTTGGGCCCTTTATCATTTTTATTGCACAAGTGATAACCTCTTCCACACAATCTAGAGTTACTAATATGTCCACTCCAACCACCTGGGCAAGCAATTACTGATGTTCCATGGACTTTAAAAGCTAGCACGCTGTTTTTACAAATTCGTGGATCAGCTATAGTAGATTGTAAATAGATTAGGGACAAGAAATGAGTACCATTTTACTAGTAGATAAAAGCGAATAATCTAATCAAAATTAAGTCTTACTTTGGATCACATAGTCTGTTACGATAGCAGACTGAAATAAATTGTAAAAATTTAAATTACTGTGCAAATCAAATCAAGAAATCAATCTTTGTAAATATAAATCTAAAATTACCACAATGGTTGTCATACAAAGCAGAACCGATACGATAGCAAGAGCAGTCTTCATGATTTTGCTGACAGGAAATGAGTGAAGTTACAAATTGAGAAACTGAACGATAGACCAATATTTCCGAAAACGTTTCAATGCTTTTGATTATTTTCTATTGCCAGATGATGAAAATTGTGAAGTATTTATAGGTTTCGCTGATGTCTTGCGATCGATGATTGTTGACCACAAATTAAAGTCAGTAAAGTGTTGGTGCAAATGCAATACAATATTTTGTCATTAATTATGTCAATAACAACTGGACGACACTTCTTAGCACCGTAGTACATTAACGCACCAGTTTCAGATTGCACTGCTCGAAGTCGTAATAGTTTCGCTATTGCAATATCATCATGTTATGTGCTAAATCTGGCTTGATTGCTAATTAAATCAATTGATTCGTAATGTTCTCTAGTGACTGACTACGAGCAGGCAGGCATGGAATCTACTCTACATTTCATATTTGAACACTATTGCCTGCTGATAGATCGTTAATATTCTTACTATAGACTTAAAGAGGTGATTCATGATGATATAAAATTTTACGGTTGCCTATAGTATTTAGCTACGCTATCAGCAAAATGCATGAAGCATACCCAAGTGCAAGGTTCCTATTGATCATAAGTTATGATCAATGGTATCTTAAGTAGGCTAAAAATAATTATACACAGTATCAAACTCTTTTCTGATACGAGTATTGCATTTTCCCTACATCATATTAATCAACTGAATTAATAATATTGTAGATAAATGAAATCACTAGAAACTAAAATTATCCATGAGTACTTATTGTATTACTCAGTTATTAGGGCAATAATTTAATTTAATTAATAGATGTGCACAGGTACAAATGGTGCTATTGATTATCGTGCAGCACATCCGATATCATAAATGAGATCAAGCCATGATATACTATTAACTCACAGTTGATAATAATGATATTTATTATCAGATGCTGTCCATGCCGAGGCGCAAATGGTAATGTAATTAAGAAATAATTGATTGTATAAAACTACAGTTTTCTCTCGAAATATACTAAAAATAACACACAAATAACGATATTTTTGATATAATATAGGGATTATTTATTTATCTACATAGCTTTCCAAAAATATAAAGTATTATTAGTAATGTACAGTAGGTTAAAGTGATTGGAAACTAGTGGTACAGAGATAATAGTACCTCAATACAGAATCAACTCGATCAAAATTAAGTAAATAGTTAGTTTTTCATGCTATTTGTATGAAATTAATTTTCTCTCGTAAGGTATTATTTTATTTATCTACAAAATTTTCGAAAAATATTAGATATTTTTAGTAGAAAAGGTTAAAGTGTTTGCAAACTTGCAGTGCAGAGTTACGAATACCTCAACACAGAATCATAACTTAATCACATTAAGAAAATAGACGATTTTTCCTGCTATTTTTATGAAATTACAGCTTTCTCTCGTAAGGTATTATTTATTTATCTGCAAAGTTCTCAAAGAATGTTCGGATCATATCGGATATATGGTGCAAATACGTTTCTATATCTAAATGTTCCATATTAGTAAAGGCTAAAGTGCTCGTAAACTTGCAGTATAGAGTAAAAAGTGCCTCAATGCACAATTAAAAATCGATCAGATTGAAGAAATTGGCAATTTTTCCTGCTGTTTTTCTTTAAGTTTTGTTGAGTTATACAACGAGTTGAAAAATTATTACATTTGTCCGAGTTAGCACACTTTTGTAATGATATTAACACTCGCTTACAAGGTGTAAATTATAAACACACGTATGTAAAGAGTCTTGGTAGCAACTAGTATTCTTTGTTGGATTGTATTCGAAATGCGATATTTGAGAAGTATTCTTCATGATTGCAGACCTCAATTATTGGAAATAATATTTCATTAGCGGTAGTTGTAGTAATTCCAACTAGTTATCATGCAAAAATTTTAACATAATTATGGTTGGAATAATTATAACAATTGGTCTTTAGTTCTCCTTGTCTTAGCTTACAAAATTGATAGTAAAAATAGAAATTAATATCCTAAATTTATTACCTCAACGATAAATATAATTAATTAATAGACAATAGCTGGTCATGGTCATTTTATTTAAAAACAACATCGGATAAATGACAAACATTCGGTATACAGTTTATAACAGCAAAAAATGATCGATGACTTTTAACAATAGACGATATTCACATCCGATGTTGGCAGACGAAAAAAGAAATTGAATAGAAGTTTGAAACCAATAATACATTGAAGAGTAAGTATACTTTTCTATTTCTATTAAATCCTACAAAAACTAGAGATATTAAATTAGTTGTACTGTAGTAAAGTAGGTAATTTATGGCTGTTGAGACATGATTAACCATACCCTCAATTGTATGATTAGACCATTAGCTAGTTTACAATTTTAGCTTTGAAAAAGTTCATTCGATAAAAAATTTAGCCCAGTCATATTATTGCAATTTTACCATGGGATGATTTGACCTGTATTGTTGCAATAGATTCCATTTTTATCTTTATCCATAGATTCAATAATTTTGACGATATTTTCAACAGATTCTTGTGGTGATAGCCTGGCTTTATCCAAACCTCCTAATGCAGTCCTTACCCAACCTGGACAAATGCACATGATCATGATATTATCACGAATTAGCTCACAGCTTAAGCCTTTCGTCATTCTATTCATGCCTGCCTAAAAATTATTGATTGAAAGTATTTTTAAATTGCATATTGGATATAAAATTAGTAATCTATTTACAAGATATACTGTATAGCATTGATTTTTATACGGTATCACTTGGGCTACTACCTTCGATATGGCATAAGGATATAAACCACCAAAATTTGATTTTTCGCATGATCCTAGGGTACCGGAAATGTTTAGAATAGCAGCAAAATCTTTTTTCTGACCTGCCTTAGCTAAAAGCGAATGATAAGCCTAGACATTTACACATAAATAGAATTTAAATCATTTGGACTGAATTTTAAATTTATTGCTAAACATTAAGTGATATTACAGTTTGATTTAATTATTTATGCAACATCAATCTAGACAAGAATTTTTCAATTTAATAGAGAGAACAAGTATCTACTGTTTCTCTGTTGAAGTATCACTACAATATTTAGAACTGTTAACAAGCTCTACTAAGAACTCTCGCTAGTTATTTGCTGCGTTTGTCTGTCAATGCTTATGTTTAACTTTTAATATTATTCGATTATAATAATTATGACTAGATCATGTCCTGGAATCTACGAATATCTAAATCTCTTTCTTATGATATATTACAGTCACTAAGTAATAGCAACCTTTGCTAATCATAAAGTAAATGGATGCACGATTGTTAGCAAGTTATACTAAGAACTCTCGTTAATTATTTGCTAGGCGTATCTGTAAATGCTTACATTTATATCTCAATATTAACCATTTACGGAATGTCCTAGAATCTATATCTAGATCTCTTTCTTATGATATATTATAGTTGCTTAGTAATAATAGCCCTCGCTAACCATAAAGTAAATGGTTGTACAACTATTTACTGTCTTTGTAAAGTGACAATGAGTTTGTGGGTAATTTTATATAGATGATAAATCTATCAATCGTTACTTTTACAGTAGAATATCCGCTTTGTACTGTTATAAAACGTCATATAATCTACAATCTGCGATCAGGCAGATTTTCTTCGTAGTCTCGAATGTACTAAGAATAAGCCAGGCAAAGGTTAACGCGCTTAGTGCACTAGCTTCATCACAGCAAAACCGTTATTTCCTTACTACATTGCAAGATTGACCATTTCACATGTTCAATTTCGATACATCATGCAATTTAAAGACATAATCCATCCTGCTATCATTTTTAAGTTTTAATAAATACCAACCTGTATGACTTGGAAGGGTCCTACCACGTTAGTTTTATACACACGCATCATATCCTCCTCTGTTACATCTAGAAAGTTAGGGGATCTTGTCAAAATTCCTGCATTATTGACTATAAGATCGAGTCCATCATTGTCCAATTTCTCTTTAACCAAAACAGCCGATTTTTGAATCGAATCATTCGATAAGGCATCTAGTAATGGAGATTATTTATTGGAATTAAAAGTCTATAACTATACAAGATCCTGAAATACAATTCTATATGATTTACAATGAATCAATTGGTTGTAGTAAAGAGGAGTTTAAAAAATACTACAGAAAAGAAACTGTTTAATAATATCGTATAAGTGTTGTATGCGAGTAAAAAAACTCCGGCTTGTAGTCATTACTATCACTGCGATGTCCTTAAGACTGAAAGTTAGCCATTAAGGGCATTTCTTAGTAACTTATTAGTCCTTCAATGTAGTCACTTGCTAGATCGAAAGAGGTAAAATGGATGAAGATAATTACTGTCTAAGCATACAACGTGTATACCTAGTACGGTGTCTAAATATTAGCAACTAAGAGACTACACTAGACTAACGCTATTTTATATGTTCTCGATTTACTTGAAATTTACCTAATTGAATAATTATGACGTTGCTATGTTCTGATGCAAAGTCCCGTAGCTCCTATCATTGACATTCCGAGTGTTCATCATCAATACACAGAACAGTTAAAACATGATAGTACAAAATCGACCTATCGCTATGGATATCGAATGAAGTCACATCAGTACGGTCATGATTCATCATGATAAAATGGACATGAATCGGTGAAAAGTAAAAAATAAAATCAGTAGTATACAGTATTATGGTGTTTGTCGTCTAATAAACTGCTGCAGTACAATAATATTAGAATAACACACATTTTATCGTCGTTTAGCATCGCTATTGTAGTTGCATTTTAATAGCTAATTCAGTCATAAACCTGGCTGATCTAGAATCATTACTGATAAGACAGTCTGCAAGTGTATCAACTTAGCTCGATCACGTTCAATCAATACATCATTTTAATTTGCACCTTTGCTGCTTCGCCATCAGGAGATCTACAAGAAGCAAAAATATACTTGGGTGGGCATGATAAATTAGCTAGTTGGCGAACCATTTCGAAACCGATCCCACGGCTACTTCCTGTTACTAAAACACTCTCAAACTGAAAAGGCATCTTCTCGTTAAGCGTTACTGAGTCTTTAGGCAGGCAATAAATGCAAGTAATTTTATTTTATTAAAGATGAACTTATACAGTAGTCTTGATGTTGGCTTATGTTGATAATTTATGATGATACGCAGAGAATAGTTGCAATGATAGTGTAATCATCGATTTCTCTAGCACAGTCAGTACTCGATACCTGGTCTATCTTCAAACCTTGGCTGTTTGTATGCTAATTAGGATATCACGGGGCTCATGGCCACTGTACGCTTAACTTGGTTTAATTTGATCAGATCAATTGAATAAATAGACTTTACAGTATGCTATCCTATCATTGACCCGATGAATACAGAGCCCTCATTTACTGTATAGTAGCATATGTTAGAGCAGCTTTAAAGTAGTATTGCCCGTATTAGCCAGCCAGGGACATTTAAAAAATTAATGTCACAACTTAATTCCTTAGGTTTTATCTAAGATGAGAGCGTAAAGAAGATTTCTGTTGAGGACAGTCCACCGGGCAGATTTAGCACAGGGCAAAAATATAAAAATCGATGCTGTATTTTGCTCCGAGAAGATTAAAGAGATATTGTCCCTCTCGACTTCGTTGTTCTTTATTAAATACTGTAACATAGAGACCCTTAGGAGTTAAGGGTAATATGATATCGTGCTGTTGAATTATGTTAGAATCCTTCCTAATGATAATGATTTAAGCTATATAATGCTATAAGAACAAATATGATTGACACAAGATAACCTAATAAAATTATTACTGTCATCTCGCTAATATTATTATATAGTATTCGCCAATTATGGCTCTGTCGGACGTAAATTATTTTAATAACTTTTAGCGCGACGTCGCTTATTACACTCATTGAATTGGATTATTTAATCTTACAGTATACCAGTTATCCGAAATATTTCTTCGGCGACTACCTATACTTTGCGTATATTACTGCCGCACAGTGCTTCTTCTCTAGTACTGTACGATATCCAAATTAAAGATTAAGAAGAAAGGGATATTGAATCGAAATCGACATATACGATTGTCACACACCACTAGTAGCAAAGTAAGCCTACACACGCCAACGCTTACGAAGAATGTCTCTTACTGACTTAAAGAGACGTGGTTAGCTATATCATCAAATAGTTTAATTCCAACGACCGAATACTATAGTATAGGTACAGCATCACTGATAGTATAGACGAGGTAGTCGGAGAATTACTACTATTTATTACTGAAGAAATCTAGTCAACCAAGGTTAAAGTCTTGACAATTTAATAGAGATTGACAAACTAGGTTGACTAACTAACCGACTATTAACTAAAAAGTGGTCTTCAGGCACCAGCGTTTTATAGTCTCGTCAGAAACTCCTAGTACACATAAAGTAAAACTATATCACTAAAGATATTTTTAAAATGTCAAGTAACGTCATCAGTGTGAAAACTTCTAATATGGAAACAAATATCTACTATTCATTATCGGGTAACGGTGAAGAGACTTTGGTTATTATACCAGGTAGTATCGGCGCTAGCGATATTGAATTTTCTTATTTGATACAAGATGTTCCCGATCATTTACGAATAGTGACATTTCATCTTCGAGGCCTTGGTCGATCTAAACCTCCCCAAACTCGTGAATGTCCATTGGATTTTTATTACAAAGATGCTGACGATTGCGCGGCTATCATGGAATCTTTAGGTTTTGAAAAGTATTCAGTTCTCGGATTTTGTGACGGTGGCGTATCCGCTATGATTTTAGCCGCTAAGTATCCGACAAGGGTTCAAAAACTAATTTTACTAGCAACGCGCTCTTATAATACTGAGAAAGAACTCGCTATTCTAAATCAACTTAAGAACGTCGAATCAGACTTTGATCCAAAGGTTTTAAAAGACTATGTTAAAGTTTATGGTGACATAGTCACGGTGCAACAATGTTTCACTAGCTATTTAAACACGCATTCAATATTACTTCGTAATGCTCAAGGCTTGTGTCAATCAGAATTAAGCAAGATTCAAAGTCCAACACTTATTCTACACGGTGAAAATGACCCTATCACACCTGTTATTCATGCTCACTATCAGCGAGAGAATATTCCAAGATCACAATTGTATATCATCCCCGGTGGTCACCATTTCATACAACACCAATTTCCCGATAAATTTGTCAAATTTCTTCAGGCTTATTTACTCCAAGATACTGTTATCCGTTGGGAAACTATTTAGTTTAACATAACTCGTACACTGTCGACAATTATAATTATATGCCATCATCAACGACTAAGGGCACATATCATCACTAGCAAACAAACTTCTGTCTTTTATAGATTTATCCTCTATCTGTCAGTTTTACATCATTTGATGTACTTATTTAACATCTTACATAAAAGTACTGTTTGTGTTCTTCTGCTAAACTTAGTAAATATGTTCTCGATACGCTACTCTCTTCATCATGCTAGACAACGTATTAATTTAGTTTGCTAAGATTGAATATTGTTTCTTGCGGTACCCATCAGGACATAAAATATTTTTATGCTATGGAACTCAATATAAATGACTTAGTGTCTCACGATAAAATTGGATCACCTGATGTTCAAAATCAATAAATTATCAGATTCGAGCAAATTTTTTATCTTAGAATAAATCTTAAAATAGGATATCATGATTTTAAAGGCCTCCAAATTTGTTTATCGCCTAAAAAGTGAAATATCCTTCCTTGCATAAATAAAAATGAAATCTGCTTGTTTGTTTGTTTGTCCACGATACAAATCAAGGTTAAGCAATAGACATAATTCTAAGGATGTTTAGCCGGGGTAACTTTTCTCTGGAAAGCTAATGGTGTGGTGTAAAACTGACAAAAATTGCCACATTGAGAACTAAATTTAAAACATTTTGCATACGGGGTATCGCGTACAGACACCCGTATACCAACGATATCATAAAATTACACTATGCCCTCAAGCATGCCCAAAAAGTCTAACTATGGCAATTAATCTTTCGTTTTTCTTGCCCATACTGTCGTGCAAGTCCACAAGATAAGATAGGTTACAAAATAGATCTAATATCGTAAATTTATTAACATTACGATAAAATGTATTAGTAATCGAGAATCGAACGTTACAATTATTAAAAAAGGCATAAATTGAATGATAAGTATTTTACTATGGAGTAAGCAACGGCATAAAATGATTGACTATTTTTGAACAGCAAAAGATATTCTTATCAAGTAATGGCAGACGTAAAATAATAATGAACAGAAATATTGAAATCAATAATACGATAATATCTGCACAGAAAGTCTACCTTTCTATATTTGTAATATCCTATAAAACTATAGAGATATTAAAATAGTTGTACTACCGCAAAATCAAGCAAATTATGATTGCTGAGACATAATTACTATGCACTTAGTTATAGTGTGAGAAATTATCACGAACCTAAGTCTTTAAATCTTTACTTTACGCATAGATTGATAACATACGGCACATAGTAGATACTAAGATGATTATGCTACTAGCTACTTTGTAATGTTGGTTTTGATAAATTCATTCAATATGGATTGATATCACCTGTATAGTTGTAAAAGGCTCCATTTTTACTTTTATCCATTGATTGAATAATTTTCATAATATATCCAACAGATTCTTGTGGTGTTAGTATGCCTTTATCCAAACCTCCCATTGCAGTCTTTACCCAACACGGACAAATACACATGGTAATGATATTATCACGAATGAGCTCAAAGCTCAAGCCTTTGGTCATTCTATTCATGCCAGCCTGAAAACATAGATAGAAAAAGTTTGGGAGTTGCAAAGATAAAAATGTACATTAAATACAAAATAGACATTAATATACCAGGCATGCAGCATTGATTTTTATACTCTATCGCTTAGGCTACTACCTTAGATATGACATAAGGATATAAACCACCAAAATTCGATTTTTCGCATGGTCCAAGGATACTAGAAAAGTTTAGAATAGCGGCGAAACCTTTTTTCTGACCTGCCGTAGCTGAAAGTGAATGATAGGCCTAAACATTGGGCAAAAAATGATATTTCTAAGTGTAAGAATTAAGAAGTAGATGAGTTTTAAATCAACCAGACTGCATGTCGAATTTAATACTAAATATAAGAATCATCGTATAACTGTTTGCTGTCGTATGCATTTGTAAACACCTGTATTAATCTGTCAATATCAAACATTAACGTAATCGTGTCCTTAAATGTGTACTGGTACGTACCTATAATTATAATTCCTTCTTATATTAATATATCATATTTACTAAGTAATAACAACCCTCGCTGATCATGAAGTAAGCGTTGTATAACTATCTATAAAGTGACAATAGAGTTCGTAGGTAATTTAGCTTAGATGATCATCTATCAATGCCTACTTTTACACTACAGCGTCCAATTGGAGTTCTGAAAGAAATACAGATCTATACTGTTATTAAATACTATATAAATTGAAAGAATCTGAGACAAGTACGAGAAATAGACTAGGCAAGGATAAATGGGGCGGTCCGTTGGCTTCACTAAAGTAAAATCATTACTACCTTACTGCAGTAGTATGTTGCAAGATTTGTCGCTATACGACTTGAATTTACCATTTCATACATTCAAACCTGCTATATTATGTAATACGAACATAGCACCTATCATGCTAAAATTTTAAGCTTTACTAGACACCAACCTGTATGACTTGGAAGGGTCCTACCACATTAGTTTTAAACACACGCATCATATCCTCCTCTGTTTCATCTAGAAAACTAGGCGATTCTGTTTTAATTCCTGCATTATTGATTACAAGATCGAGTCCATCATTGCCCAATTTCTCTTTAACCAAAAGAGCTGATTTTTGAATGGATTCTTTCGATGAAGTATCTAGGAATTGAGATTATTGATGAAAGTAAAAGTCTATCAGTATAAAACTTTAACGATAAAATTTTAGTGTGGTTTGCAAAGAATAAAAATGGGCAGTGGTAAGAGAAGTTAAAACTACTATAAAAAGTAAACTGTCTTAATAATATGTTGTTGAATGCAAGTAAGAAAATTCCGCTATCGCTATAACTGTTACGTTATCAAAATTGAACGCTAGCCACTAAATCTATTTCTTGGTAACTGTTATATCGGTAAATAAAATGAAAATCAGTACATTTCTAGATCTTAATAGCTAAAATGGATGAAATTCGTTACTGTTTGAGTACACAATGTGTTTGCTAAACTATCTAATACTAGCTACAAAGAAACAAAGTTAAGGACATTTTCTACATTCTCAATTTCCGTAAAATTTACCTAACGAAATAATGGTGACATTGCTATGATCTGATGCAAAGTTCTTTAACTCCTATCATCTAAATACAAAATATTCATCATCAATATGCAAGAAAGTGAAAATATGTTGATATAAAATCAACTAGAACGATGTATCGCGCTGTTCATTATTTCGAATCGAGTCTCCTCAGTCATGATTGATGACGGTAAAGTTGATATAAATTGGTAGAGATAAATTTAATCAATAGTATAATGCAGTCCATTAATTAATTATACGATCAATGGCGATGCTATAAGAATGTTAAAAATGTACACCAAGTTTTATCATAGCCATTGACAATAATACAGTACAACATCGCTATTGCAATGGCGTTTTACTAGCTAATTGAACAATCAACCTGACCGATCAAAAATCACTAGGAGGCAAACTGCTTTATCACTTAGCTCGATCAACTTTAATCCTTGTATCGTCTTAATTTGCGATCACCTTTGCTGTCTCTCCACCTGGTGATCTGCACGTAGCAAAGATATACTTGGGTGGGTATGACAAATTAGCCAATTGGCGAACCATCTCAAAGCCAAACCCACGACTACTTCCCGTTACTAAAACGCTTTCAAACAGGAAAGGCATCTTTCTCTTGAATGGCATCACTGAATACTTGACTAGGCAACAAATGCAAGCGATTAATTATTAAATAACTGTTCAAGGCCAATTTCTAGTCTTGATCAGACTAGAAAGATCACTAATCACGACCAATCTCTTAATAGTACTTTAATGATACTAATGTAAACAAAATTTGTTTGGTATATATGTATATCTATCTATCTATATATAACATATAGATAGAATATAGATTTACTAAATAAGAATCAGTATGTAACCAGTCAGTAGGACAGTCTCCATGATACGGAGAAAATATCAGTGCTACTTGCTGATACAAAATGATATAATTTGCGGGCTCTACTATACAGTAGAAGGTCTCTACTGACGGCTGTATGGGACACTACTATCAAGGTAAAGCATCTACCCGCTGCAATACTCCTGACTGCTGTTTTTCCGGAGCTCTGCCTCTCGGGTATCGAGTAACTTATTTGGATGTTCAATTGTCCATGATGGACACTAGACAGTAGGCAGACATACAATTTAGCTGAAATAATCATCCTGGGTATTTTGAGTATACTAAACGATCATTTCTTCAGCCTCTTTTTGTAGTACTGTAGTCTCTGATAGAATGATAACTGGCTAAAATAGCCGGGTCCAGCTCCAAGCCAGGTGGATCAAATAGTCCATGTTTTGGCAGCTTATAAAGGTAGCATGGTTGGTTGCTGGACAATTTAAATGAATGGTTTATACGAGGATAGTATACTGTACTATAATTAATCGGAGGGATACATAACCCTGATTAGCATTTCTGCATGCAGCTTAATGTTACAAATTCAAAAACTCTGTAAATTAGAATGCCACCATACTTGAGAGAAAATTCAATACATATTGGCTATGCAGGGGCATAAACGTTTTGCAATTGTACCTCTATGCTGTATTAATATTTCGCTCATAACTCTCTATTATATATATATATAATTATAAAAAAATATTGATGTAATCTTACAGTACTATTGCAACTTGATATCATAGATGGGTAGCGATAGGTAAGACAGCCTGAAGATTGGCTTGAAAAGATGACATCATACAAATGTAACGTTATTGCAACAGCCATTACAGTTCCTGGAGCCTGGTAACCTTGATGTACGCTTTGGCCGATGGGTCTTTTTACTAATTTCATATTCACTGAAAAGGATATTGAATAGAAAGGTGTATATTCGAGTTTATGCAATATCTAATATCACCAACTACCTCTTAAAGGTAGATCCGGTTTGAAATCTTCGCACTCATACTTAAACATATACAATCGCATAGGGGATCGAGATTTTAGATATAAATATACTATAATGAAAGCCTGCGTCTGATTTGTTCATTTGCAAAAGTAACGTTAGTAAGATTAACTAACTAAAATAGTTGTTGATGTGAGTAATTAGGATGTTATAGTTACTTGTAGGATAGTAGATATTGACCGGTAGTAGTATGTAAAGCCAAGTCTTTCTGTCATTGTTAATTCTAATCCTCCGTTACTATCACACTCGCAATAAATAAATTGTAATAAAAGCTATTACTATCCACTGACGTTTCCTTTACATTTAAATTTTATTACAGCAAGTAAAGCAATTCGATAAATGATTTAATGGGACACCAAGGCTTGTAGATTTCAAACAATATCCTTTCTAAATACTACAAGAGGTAGTTGATACAGTCTATATGCCTTCGTCAGAAATTCAGGATTTTAAAAAGTAAAATAAAACAGTTTTAATCGCTGAAACAAGTTTGTGACAATAAAACACCCAATCAGAGAAATCACACACAGGTTTGTTACGGTGTAGTAAGGGCGATTATAATTAAGATTAATAGATATTGCACTGTCTGTTCAACATCAGCAAGAGTTATGGTAACATAATTTGAAATTTGCAATTGCGATACCATTTAGAATATAGCAGCATTACCAAGCGATAACATCTCCATTATAATTGTAAAATGTCCCATTTTTACTCTTGTCTAAAGACCTAATAACTTGCATCATTTCTGTAGTTGACTCTTCCACACTAAGTGGCGACTTTCTGGAACCAAGATCAGTTCTAACACGTCCAGGATGAATGCTGACGGCGATGACGTTATCATCGATCAAATCGTGACTTAATGCAGTAGTCATTCTGTTTAATGCAGCCTAAATTTGAGTTGAAAGGAAAGAGATTTAGGTGTCAAGTAGCCTTCGTTTTCTGTAATATTTACTGGCAACAAGTAAAAGCCATCAATTGAATATACAGAGTGAATTCCTTCTATAAAATTGAAATTTTATTAATCATACTAGTTACTTTAGAAAGGGCATAAGGGTAGAGTCCACCAGCAAATGTCTCTTTACAGGATCCTACCACGCTCGATATATTAACGATGGCTGCAAGTCCCTTGCTTTTCCCTTCTTTGGTTATTAGGGAATGATAGGCCTATTTACAAAATTCCAATATAGAAAATTTTGATCGTGAAGTTATTACGTAGGTTAAAATTTCGCATTATATAAGTCGAACCACCATTTTAATGTATATATACGTTATTACTTCACAAGAATAACATCGAATATGGCGATTTCATTTACAATTCCACAACTATTGCAGCATACTCGTAGAGATACAGCAGGCAAAGGGATTAGAGATGGAACTTGTTTAACGCTAAGGATCGCTAATGAATTATGACACATCTTCCTACCTGCACGACATTGAGCGGTCCAATAACGTTAGTATGATAAACACGAATCATGTCTTCATTGGTGGTTTGTAATAATTTTCCAGGCGCTCCAATTCCTGCATTATTGATTATTAGATCTAGTCTTTCATCACCTAATTTCTCTCTGACTGAGGCCACAGAATCTTCAATAGATTGCTTCTCTGATGCATCTGAAAATTCGAAGATCAATCTATTCAATCTAAAGTATTTTTCAATGATTACTAAGCGCATAATTTGGCATTTCATAACACAGAGTTGCTTCTTATCCAATAGAAAAATTGGACAGCACAGTTATTCAATTGAAAAAAGTCACCATGAAAGCATAACATTAAATCAAAGTTTCTAATTCATACAGCTCAATCACTAGTAAAGAAGCAGCCAATGCAGTAAGTGCAATACTTTCAACCGACCTAGCTTAATTATGGTCACATTCTTTCGAGTTGCTGCAAGTTCTCTTAAAGTCTGTAAGGGATAGATACTGAGATATATCTAAGTATGCCATTTATTTGATTTTAATTTATAATGTCATAACTATATACGCGTATATTCAGCAATCATCATGATGTATGCGATGATGCAATCACACTATTTACATCCAGTCTGCTACGGCCAGTTTTCATTTACTAGCAGTAGTAACTGTAGGATATCTGGGATTAATCATGACTGCTACCATTATAACCTGCAAGCAGCCAAGTCAGAAAATAGCAGCAATACGATTGTCGATCATGCCACTACAGGATTGATTGTATACTCGTATTTTCATACAGGTTCAGTGGTTAAACAACATCTACGCGTATACTTTTATAGCAGATATCACTCTCAATTTCGTGCCTTGCCAAATGGTTGCTCTAATGGTATGAAAATGGACACTTTTAGCTACCATGCGACGATTCCATCCTATCAAAGCCATGCTTGGAATTATGTATACTAAATTAGTTACATACCGCACTGTCCGTGTATAATTTGGCGATGGTAGCGATGACTAAATTTTTTGGAAGACTGACTTTTATGTAGATAGGCAGTAGCGAGTATTGGGCAATATTTTCTTCTCGTTTTGAGAGGTTCATGCTGCTGTGTTGAATAATAAGAAAGTATATAATATTTAAGTGTTGACAGCATCATGTAGTGCTGTGTAATAAGGCCAAAGGTATCCTTGTTAGTTAGCTACTGTCTTATAATGAAGTACTTGCATCATCTTATAGGATGTTTATAGCTAAATTAGTTGGCCATCTCTTTATGATTGCTAGACTATTAAAGTATTTGTACCGTCGCGTGGCACATCGTTAAGATCAGTGAACGAGTGGAATTTTTTTACTGCTAGCGCCCAAACTACTGTCATTGGCCTGCTCTTTATGATTGCTAGACTAATGAAGTATTTATACCGTTGGTTATGTGGTTCTATCACGGACTACTTCCTGACAAGTTTACTAGTCTAAGGTAAAGCACTTACTTTGAGTTGCTTCTACAGATTACTACCCTAATCTGCCGAAAGATCGAGTAAAGAATATAGTACTACTACTATAACGCCTAAAAACTATCCTTTTGAATGGCTGGCAACCAGTAGACACTATAATACAGAAACACCGTCAGTAGCAATACTTTCTTTAACTTTAGAATTTAGGCAACGTAGTGCCGTAGCAAGCTACTAAAAGGGTATATTGTTAAGATCAGTGAACGAGTGGAATTTTTTACTGCTAGCGTCAAATTAATTGACCAGCTCTTTACGATTGCTAGGCTAATAAAGTATTTGTACTGTTGTGCGACTACTAAAAGGGCACATCGTTAAGATCAATGAACGAGCGGAATTTTTTACTGCTAGCGCCAAATTAATTGACCAGCTCTTTACGATTGCTAGACTAATAAAGTATTTGTACAGTTGTGTGACTACTAAAAGGGTACATCGTTAAGATCAGTGAGCGAGCGGAATTTTTTAATGCTGCTAGCGCCTAGCAGCGAGTCATGAACAACAGGTAAGGAATGATCCATGCTGCGTGCATCGTTAGCTAGCTCTTAAGATTGCTAATAGCGTTCTTTGCTAAGTGCCATAATAACAACATCACTCACGCCACTAACCTTAGCAGTGTCACCCTGTGGAGATCTGCAAGTGGCAAATATATGCTTCGGAGAGTGCGATGCTGCAGCCAATCGCTCTACAAATCCTAATCCTATCCCTCGACTGGCTCCTGTGATCAACACACTTTGAAAAGTGAACGCCATCATGAGCCCAAGACGACACCAATACGCGTTAGTAAACCGAGAAGGAAATCAACAAGACTAGATTGATAAATTGAAATTTAGGAACTATCATCTGGCTGATGGTTTGACGAACTGTGCAGCTTGAGCTGAAATAGTAGATACCGGGCAATGCATCTTGGAGCCAAAAAGATGTCATCCCTTCTACTCGACGCTATGGTTAGTATAGTTTGAGATATTCTATTTTATGTTGCATTTTTGCTACAGATTGCCTTCCTGTACAATATTGAATGTAAAACAAAACTGATGTCATGTCCACTCGCAATTTAAGACCTCCCATCGTCCCACTTAGTGTTATTATGATGAAATGCTAATGAGGTCAAAGAATAACCTTTTATGGAGGATGCAACTCTATATAGTAGTGTATTTTCTTTCACCGCTCTCTATCGGACAGCGCTTATTTATGACTAGAATTGGATCCCCCAAATTTACGTCGACGTGAAGAACAAATGCGTTTAAATAAATAAAATAAAATTAATTCACTATGACAATTTAATAAAAGAGTTTTTATTTGCACACACCAAGACAATAGACAGTATGGAGTTGGAGTAGATAGATGCACTAGCAGAACAGCAAGAATAACATGTCACTAAGTGATAAATTGGAGAGCTCTAGTCGTAGAGAATTGACATAATCCATTACTCCAATTTAAAACGCCTGATCGAGAGGGTGTTGATTTTGACCCAAAAGCAGCAAGGTCACAACATAGTCAACAGTGCGATACCATACTCAACCACGAGTAAAGATCACAGACTCATCGGTGAAAAACTACCCTATACATAGGAAATTATTGAATTTACAGCTAGTAGTTTTATTCCTTCCATCAGTAAGCCATTCTTCCATACCCCTTGATTGGATTTGCAGTCCGGTACGAGTTGACAGTCATTCTGATCTATCCACAATATGGCGATGTTTAAATTTGAAAGCGTATTAGTAACTGGAGCTAATCGAGGATTGGGACTTGAATTTATCAAGCAATTATCCGCTTCGCCTCAACTTAAATATATATTTGCTACATGCAGATCTCCAGAAGGCGATAATGCCAAGGTGAGTTGGATTGAGACGTGTTGATAGCCATGGACAGAACTACTTCCGTGAAAAATACTGATTTGAAGTGGAGTATTCTGTGTTGATAGCCATGGACAGAACTACTTCCATGAAAAATACTGATTTGAAGTAGAGTATTCTACACTGTAAAGTACTACTATTATTGCCTGTATGTCCAAATGTACATAAAGCTCATGATGTACGCCTGGGCATGGACTGCTAAAATGGAGTAGTCGTTGATGGACGCCTATAGGATCAAATACATTCGATCTACGTTGTACAGTAGAACAATTTGCTGGGTCCGTCGAATGCATTTGATTCCACCAATGTTTTGATGAAGTGGTATCAGATTTCAAGCTACTAGAATGAGTTGATCCACTTACTGTACCTTAATATCTAGTCCTACTGCATTCAATGTGATTGCCAATAGTGCCAAAACGATCGAAATATCCCAATAGAATAACCCCAAAGTACAGTAAAAATGATAATAAACTACGACATTATTCTACTGCTCATTATAATCAAAGACATGTACTCATCTTATTATACATACGCTTTATGCCCTTTTGACAGAGCTTAAGAGAACTTGCGACTAAGCGAAGCAATGTGACCATCATCAAGCTAGGTCAGTCTTGGACCGAATTTTATTGGATCCCAACCGATAGAATACAATGTCAATTTTATACGCTTATAGCACAATGATTTTTCTTAATGTTGAAATTAATAGTTTGCATTATGTGCAATAGACTGAGGTTTGACGAACTAACAGTCGACTGAATCGGTTTAAGAGTTTACGGAGAGATACTTTTTGTTGCGTAGCTCGATATGATGAAAAGAGAAGCCAGAGTATTAAGGACAGAGATAGCAGTGCAACGATTAATTATAGTGTAATGATTTTTCCAAATGTTGAAATCGATGATCTGCACGATGCATTTGTTATTATAAAGCTACATTTCGATACTTAACTCATCATAGTAAAAATAGTCTCCAGAGTGTTGAGGATAAGGATAACACTGCTGTACGTATTAACATGATCAAATGATTAAAAACATCTTAGATAGAAATTGCCTGCTTTCGAAAATTTTTTAGATTCTTCGGACAAGCAATCGATTGAAAATTCAGCAGTGGTGGTTAAAGAAAAGTTAGCGGATCAAGGGCTCGACCTGATTATAAACAATGCAGGAATTGAAGCACCGGGAAAGTTATTGCAAGTTACCAATGAAGACTTAATTCGAGTTTATCATACCAACGTGATCGGACCACTTAATGTCATTCAGGTAAAACTATATTAGTAAATAGCGATAACGTTTAATCCAATTCAATCGAAATATGAAAAAAAAAAATTATATACAGTAGTAAGAGCAGCGATTTGACGTTAAAGTGAGAGTAAGGGTAACATTTTTACTAGAGTAGTCTATGAAGAAAACAAAGTCTACATACTGTACATAGTATTGAAAGAAAATAACATCTAGCAAAGTTACACTAATAATTTATAGGTATAAATATATTATTAGTAATAATATATAAGCCAATTCAATTTAAAATATTGAACAATGTACATAGATATTGCGTATAGTAAACAACGGCTAGCATAGTTATATCTTCAATTTATTGGTATCGATATATTTTTAAATAGTGATAACGCTTAAAATGGTAGCTCAGATTCTATTATTATGTCGAAACAAGGAAATTAAAAGTATAACTATGTTAGGTGTTATTTTCTTCACGTACCATAAATTAAAAATATAACCATGCTGAATGTTGTTTTCTTCAAGTACTATGCACAGTATGTAGACTGCTGAACGCTTTAAATTAATTGGCTTAAGGAAGCGCCATTGCTCGCAGTTTAGTTATTGTACGTACGATCTTATTTTTTTTTCCTTAAATAAAATAATAACGATGCTGTACGCGTTCATAATATCATGGTCTGATCTTTGTAACAATTGTAATTTTCGTACACTTAATTTTGTGTTCTTTTAACAGGCCTATCACTCCTTAATAACAAATGCAGGAAAGAGGAAGGGATTTGCAGCCATTATCAATATGTCAAGCTGGTTAGGATCATGTGCGGAGACATCTTGTGGTGGAATGTATCCGTACGGGCTTTCTAAAGTAACTAGTAGAAACCATTACGAATTGAATCTATATTCGTATGCTAAGTATTACGGAAAACGAGGAATAACACACTTGCATCATTTTATTTTTAACTCGCCCAGGCTGCTATGAATAGAATGACCAGAGCATTAAGTTACGACCTGATCGATGATAACGTTATCACCGTGAGCTTTCATCCTGGATGGGTTAAGACTGATCTTGGTTCTCAACAAGCTCCATTAACTGTTGAGGACTCGATTAAAGATACACTTAATTTTATTCAATCTTTGGATAAGAGTAAAAATGGAACGTTTTACCACGCCAACGGCAATATTATCCCCTGGTAAAGTTATTCCAAAGAGTGCATGTCGTAAATTTAATTCCAATAGATTTTGAAACCCTTTTATTAGTTATTTGCTCTATCTGATAGCGAGTAATAACCCTTACAAAATATGTATACGCATATTGTTCGTAACTGCTGACTTCACTCTTAAAATAAAGTTGGAAGTTCCACTAAATTCGTTGCAGCTATTTAAGAACAATTTGATAATATTAAAAGTGTCTCCATTCACATGAAGACTGCAATTACGGTATGGCATGTTACAATCCAATGTACGAGTATAGTATACCTGGCACAATATCACCTTTGAGTGCTGATGGTCTTTCCTAGGGACTACTAAATAATCAATTTAATCTATTAATCGTAAATTAAGAGCCGTTTCTTAGGATAAAAGCCGACGAGTGTGCATAATCATGATAGCAATTTATTGTTTATTGATATTTGCTAATGAATTTATTATTGCATGAAGTTCTTTACTTTCTATTCAATTCATGCACAGCACAAGTACAATTGGACAGCTGTGCAGTTTAAGTTAATTACATCCATTTTGTGAAAATAGTAAAATTCGGGAGACTTATATTTAAGGTCGATGTATGCGGAGATAAGGTAGCTATAACTGAGAATGATTGCATTAATAATACTGCTACGACAACAGCATGTACTCGAGAATCTTACATTTTTGGGTATATTAGTTAAGTTTCATTACCTTTATAATTCATATACCCACAAATCTAATCAATCTATATCACAGACAGTCAGAATTCTCATGGCACTATACAGCCCATATAAGGTAGATAGAAAACGAACAGATCAGAACAAAGCTGCATTAACGGATTAAAAGCTTTTAGCAGCCATCTCCTATCCATACAAGTATACTCGTATCTCGCACTAACAAAATTTATTTTCTTAATCTTGCACAATTCACAATCAAATCAGTCGCAACCATTATCATCTTTAGCTTTGAAAGTGCAAAGAATACAACAACTATAGGTCGCTGATTACTTATACAGGTATGTTTACTACTTATGAATTTGCACATATTGTATAGGCTTACGTCATTAAAGAAACCATACAAGTACTCCCTCATATGCCGGCACGTAAGTGATGCAGCACTGTCATTGCAATCTTTTGGGTGATGAAGTAATTTAAATACTAAGTAACTGTTCTTAAGTACTGTAGCTGCAACAAAATTTAGTACGATTATTATTCCAGTTCGGCAAAATGTGCAAGTTTAATGAAAGCGTAAAAAAGCAACTACGATTGCTTTAGTCAACATCTATATTGCTATTGGTATTGCTGATACTCAGTAAAAATAAGTAAATGGCCAATATTTATTTAAATTTACAATATATTCCTTCGCTTAAATTTTACCACGGGAGCCTATTTCCGTTGTAGTTGTAAAATGTTCCATTCTTATTCTTGTCCAAAGATCTAATAATTATAAGCATTTTTTCAATCGATTCTTTCGTGGTTAGTATTGCATCTTGTGAACCAATATCAGTCTTAACCCATCCTGGATTCATGCTCATGGCAATAACGTTATGTACGATCAAATCGAAACTAAATGCTCTCGTCATTCTGTTCATTGCTGCCTGAAATAATTTAAAATGAAATGATATTAGTATCCAATTTTCTTATTTTTCGTATGACTTATTGCGGAAGGTATAAACTTATAGATTATATCTCTTATAAAGTGAGCATTATCATATAGTTTCTACTAGTTACCTTAGAAACACCATACGGAAAAAAGTCAGCAGAAAATGTTTGCTCGCATGATCCTCGCTGGCTCGATATATTGATCACGGCTGCAAATCCCTTTTTCTTTCCTGCTTTTGTTATTAAGGAGTAATAGGCCTGTTTAATACAATGCGAAATCAAATAGTATCATAATTATTGCCAAGATTCTTGTATTGTACAATATGTTTAGTATTATTACTTTTCATTATTTTTAATATCTACGACATAAAAAAGTATGGCGTAATATAATAACCAATCATAAAGGAATTACACTCGAAGAAAACTCAAACTACGCTGTTGATGTATAGAGTGAAATAATACTTATAACTATAACAGCCGTTGCTTTCACCCACGATGTATACGCAGACTATGGAATAATTTAAAATTGAATTTGGTTAAAACATGCTAGTTTCTTTAATATTTGCATTATACCTGTACAACATTGAGTGGTCCGATAACATTGGTATGATAAACACGAATCATATCTTCATTTGTAGCTTGCAAGAATTCTTCGGGTGCTCCAACTCCTGCATTATTGATTATCAGATCTAGTCCTTCATCACCTAATTTCTCTTTGACAGCTACTGCTGAATTTTCAATAGATTGTTTATCCAAAGCATCTATAAAATATGTTAGAAGCAGGCTACTCGATCAAAGATATTTTCAATTGTCAATTCAGTACACATAGTATCTCCGTAAGTCTAGCTCTATACTACATTCACTCTGTAGGGTGTCGTATCAAAAAGTAGATATCCATACTGCAAGTAACCAATTTTGACATTTGGAAAATCATCAAGCTCAAATTTTTTAGGTCAAGTAAGTCCAATAAATACGTAAACCCAGTTTTTGCATGTACATTTATTATTCTCCTGTTAAAGTATTGGTATGATAGCAGCATTCGATAACAGAAAAACTTGATGGATAGGATTTAGATTAGGATCAAATCCTTTTGTATGTGATACTATTTATGCAAAAACTTGGTCGGTCTTTAAGCTTGATCTCTAATATCCAAATTTGCATGGATTGTTATCATGGATAAAAGATTCGTTCAAAAGGTGCAATGCATTTGTACTGACCTAGCTTAGCAATCGTCACATTGCTATGATTAGCAGCAAGTTCTCTCAAGTTCTACGAAAAAATCAATTGGTTTACACAAAGCAATTAGGATATCAATCTATTGCCAGATGACATCAGATATACGAGTTCATTTTAGTAAACTGCTCTAGAATACATAGCGTTTATATCGATGTTAATTTAATTCAAAGTCAGCATACTATCCAATCACGGTTTGAAATATCGCAATTGGGTAATGCAGCAAACCTTGGCAGTATCACCCTCTGGAGATCGGCAAGTAGCAAATATATGCTTGGGAGACGGCGATGCTTTGGATAATTGCTCGACAAATTCGAGTCCCAATCCCCGACTCGCTCCAGTGATTAATACGCTTTCGAATTGGAAGGCCATGAGTATTAAGTCAACAGCAGTTGGATTATACTTGCAGGATGCTGACTAAAAGTGGATCTAGTAGAATAGGACAGTCTAGTAACGATATGTGGAATAAACTAGAAGAGACTAGTGTACTGTTTTCCTTAATGGGAAATTTAGTGATTCAGACTCGTTTTTACACTCTGAAAAGTATCAGGATTTTTATTCAGGTTATTCACAAGAATCACATACGGGGAAGCTAGTAACAGAATTGGTCTAGAGCATAGACAACTCGTCTTATATACTGTAGACAGGTGATGCTTATCGATTTAGCTCGCACTGTACTCGACCAAGATCACATTTACAATTAGGGATCATATTACATTTCCCTTTCTTTTTAACAACAAAAAAACTTCACATATACATTATATAGAAGCAAGGCAATACAGATACTTCTTAATACTAAAAGTGATACTGATCGTGTTCGTTAATTAATTAATACATAATACCATACTCTATACAGCAATATATATGGACTACGGTATATGTTCGTATGTTAACCTTTCCGCTCCGTTCTCATGGTGTTATCATTAATTACATTTGAAAATAATCATTATTATTACAATTACTTTCAGACTTTGAACAGTAAATTACAATTACAATTACGCGCAAGATTTAATAATTACAATTACAATTATACACAAGATGTAATAATTACAATTATAATTACAATCTTAGTAACTATTGATCCATCGATTTAATTGTTCAAAATTGATTTTAAATACGGAGCTAGCTTGCGCTAAATGAATCAGCACGGACAAAAAATTGAATACAGGTGCAATTTCTACCAATTGGAATGTACCAAAGCAACTCGAGCTTACAAAAATAGTCTTACTTTAATAATCTCTGCCTATACAATACTTTACTAGAATAGGATCAAAGAGACTTGAGCAGAGTTGAGGAACGAACGAATTGAAAAAAGAAACTAATAATTAAATTAATTCAATAAAAAAAATTTTTATTTGCAAATACCAACGTACAGACAGCTACTATTCTGTTAGAGTAGAGAACGAAGTAAAGAGAGAATAGAGCAGTACAAGAGAAAGATATAACGAATATACTTGCATTACAACAAGATGGATTACTGAGAGAAGAATTGTACGGTCCATCAGCACAAAACTGCACTAACAGATTAACAGTTTTTAGCATTCGCGTCTTTTATATATATATTATATATACTAGTATCTCACACAAATAAAATTTGTCGTCTTTATTCTTGCATAATTTACAATTAAACCAGTCATAACGTTGTCATCTTGAAATTTGAAACCACAAATATTACAACTACTGGAATTAGTCTAAGGCTGAGATCCGAAATTGCATGGCAATTATCTATACGTTTGTATGTATACAGTATAGGTAGAGATCATTAGAAAAATCATGCAGTCCTCCCTCGCAAGCCTGTATGCAACACCATCATTCCAATTTTTTGGCGTACGCACATCAGGCAATTTTAATGCTAAGCAATTGTCCTTAAATACTATAACGGTAGTAAATTTTGTACAATTATTATCCAAGTAGGTAAAATTTACAAATTTATTGAAAGCGCCAAATAGTAACTACGATTACTTCGATTAACATATTTATTGCTATGAGTATTATTAAAGCTCAATAAGCGTAAGTAGATGATAACAGCATCTACACTTGTTTAAATTTACAATACGTTTCTTCACAGAAATTTTACCAGGGGACCATTTTTCCGACGTAGTTGTAAAATATTCCATTCTTATTCCTGTCCAAGATCTAGTCACTTTAAGCATTTTTTCAATCGATTCTTTCGTGGTCAGTGTTGCACTTTGCGAACCAAGATCAGTCTTTACCTATCCCGGATTCATACTTATGGCAATGACGTTATCACCGATCAGATCGATACTTAATCCTTTCGTCAGTCTATTCATTACAGCCTGAAACAATTTAAAACGAAATGATTCTAGCATCAAACTTTTTCATTTTTGTATGACTTATTATAGAAGATATAAAGTATGAACTTATAGATTAAATCTCCTTTATAAAGTGAGCATTGTTGTAGTTTCTACTAGTTACCTTAGAAAGGCCGTACGGGTAAAATTTACCAACAGGTGTTTGCCCGCATGATTCTAACCAGCTCGTTATATTAATCATGGCTGCAAATCCCTTTTTCTTTCCTGCTTTTATTATTAAGAAGTGATAGGCCTATTGAATGCGATGCAAAGTCAAGTAATATCATAATTACTGTTAAGATTCTTGCATTGTGTAATACGTTCAGTATCATTACTTTTTATTATTTGTTAATTATCAACGCAAAAAAAGTGTCGCAAATATGTATTAGTCAACTACCAAGGAATTGCTTTTCATGTAGACTTAGGTACCGCTATTGAAGGATGAAGTAATATAACTTGGCTAAAACATGGCGGTTCTTTAATGTCGTATTATACCTGTGCGACATTACGTTAGTTTGATAAACACGAATCAGATCTTCATTTGTAACTTGCAATAGTTTTCCAGGTGCTCCAATTCCTGTATTATTAATTATCAGATCTAGTCCTTGATTACCTAACTTCTCTTTAATTACAGCTACTAAATTTTCAATAGATTGTTTATCCGAAGCATCTATAAAACGTTAGAACCAAACTACACCATTAAAGATATTTTCAATCATTATGTATGGCATCTCTGACATCTAACTCTATACTGTTTTCACTTTGTAGAGTGCTGTATCAAGAAGTAGATATTCATACTTCAATTGATTTTGATATTTGGAAAAATCACCATGGTAAAAAATATTTTTAGGTCAAGTCCAATAAAGAAACCAAGTTTTTGCAGGAACATTTATCCTCCTGTTACAATATTGGTATGGCACCAGCACTGCATAGCTGGAAAACTTATGAATGGAATTAGGACCAGATTTATTTTTATGTGATACAGTCTATGCAAAAACTAGGTCGGTCTTTGGGCTTAAATCTATATCTCCAAATTTGCATGGATTATTATCATGGATAAAAGATTCGGTCAACAGGTGCAATGTATTAGTACTGACCTAGCTTAACTATCGTCACATTGCTACGATTAGCGGCTAGTTCTTTTAAGTTCTACGAAGACTTCAATGGTTCATATCAAGCAATTCGGATATCAATCTATTAGTAGATGAGATCAGATTCATCTTAGTAAACTCCTCTGGAACACATAATGCATGCATTGATATTATTGTAATTCGCGAGTAATTTAATTTACTATCTGCATACTATCCAATATACGGTTTGAAATATTGGGTAATGCAACTAACTTTGGCAGTATCACCCTCTTGGAGATCAGCATGTGGCAAATATATACTTGGGAAACGGCGATGCTTTAGATAATTGCTTGGTAAATTTGAGTCCCGATCTTCAACTTGCTCTAGTGATTAACACGCTTTCGAATTGGAAGGGGATGAATGTTAAACCAACAGTAATTAGGTTGTACTTGCAGAGTGCTGACTAGAAGTGGATTCAACAAAAGTCCAGTAGAATAGGAAGCCTACCGATGATATGAGAGATAGACCAGAGGAGACTAGTACTGACCTTAGAATGAAGGACGACAAGACGGAAATGGGAGAAGCGGATCCAGGTTAAGAATGTGTTGGGCTGCAAATTGCAAGGTTGCAACCGCTTTTAGTTCTAGTAGGATCATAGTTTAACTATTAATTAATACGCGCATTATTGCGATTGTCCTGTATCTGTATCACGCCGAATAATAGCTACTAATCATAAAACCAATATTACAGAGACATGGCGAACCCTTTAAAATAGTTGAAAGATATTCAGCTATGGTGATACCTTGAATTATATCTTTAAATTTTGAAGAAATATACTTTAAATTTGGCTCAAATTGCACGCAGCCAGATCAGTACAACCTCGAACTCTTGATGTTTAGATTACTTTTTATTGTACAGTAGTACTGAGTAGTTTTATTTCTTTCAACTTTTTAATGTAAACTATGAGTCACTGATATACGTACGGTAGTTCTAACCATGTCGTAATACTGGTCTATAAGCAAGGCGATACAGATACATCTACTAATTACTTATTGATACTAAAAGTGATCTATACTAATAGTGTTTGTTAATTAATACATAATACTCTATACAGTAATTTTGTACAATCTGTGCTGTATATACGCAATAAATATACGGGTTCATCCACACAGAACTGCACTAACGGATTAACAGCTTTTAGCATCTGACTCTTTATACTCTTATATATCAGTCAGTATACCTGTATCTCACACAAATAAAATTTTTTGTCTTTACTATTGCATAATTTACAATCAAACCAATCGCAATATTATTATCTTCAACTTTGAAAGCATAAACGATACAACTATTGGAATTGGTCTAAGGCTGAGATCCGAAATGGCATGGCAATTATCTATACGGTTGTATTTACAGCTTATGAATTTCCACAGGGTGATGATGCCAAAGTTAGTTCAATTAACCCTAGTAACTTATTTCTTGCCATGCTGTACACTGCCTAATAGCAGTCAAATATACTGCAATATACATTCAGTAGGCATAGCTCATTAGAAAAATCAAACAGTCCTTCCTTGCATGTAACACTATCATTGCAATCTTTTGGTGCAACGAAATAATTTAGATACTGCAGCTGTAGCAAATTTAATACGATTATTATCCTATTCGGAAAAATTTGCAAGTTTATTGAAAGTGTAAGAAAACAAATACGATTACTTCGATCTACATATATGAGCCTAACCCTAACTCGTATATTGCTATGAGTATTGCTGATGCTCAGTAAAAGTAGCAATGATAACACAGTCTACATTTACTTTAATTTACTATATATTTCTTCGCAGAAATTTTACCACGGGACGATTTGTCCGTTGTAGTCGCAAAATGTTCCATTCTTATTCTTGTCCAAAGATCTAATCACTTTAAGCATTTTTTTAATCGATTCTTCCGTAGTTAGTGTTGCATTTTGTGAACCAAGGTCAGTCTTAACCCATCCCGGATTCATACTCACGGCAATGACGTTATCACCAATCAAATCATAGCTTAATGCTCTCGTCATTCTATTCATTGCACCCTAAAATAATTTCAAATGAAATGACATTACTATCATATTTTCTCATTTTTGTATGACTTATTGTAGAAGGTACAGAGTATGAACTTGTACAAGAAATCTCTTTTATAAAGTGAGTATTATCGTAGTTTCTACTAGTTACCTTAGAAACACCGTACGGATAAAATCCACCGGTAGATGTTTGCTCGCATGATCCTAGCCAGCTCGACATATTGATCACGGCTGCAAATCCTTTTTTCTTTCCTGCTTTTGTTATTAAGGAGTGATAGGCCTATTGAATGCAATGTAACATCAAATAGTATCACAATTATTGCCAAGATGCTTGCATTCTACTGTATATAGCACACGTAGACTGGGAAACAGTTTGAAATTAAACTTGGCTAAAATATCGTTGTTCTTTAATATCTTACTATACCTGTACGACATTGAGTGGTCCGATAACGTTAGTTTGATAAACACGAATCATATCTTCATTTGTAACTTGCAATAGTTTTCCAGGTGCTCCAATTCCTGCGTTATTAATTATCAGATCAAGCCCTTCATCACCTAACTTCTCTTTGACTGCAGCTGCTGAATTTTCAATAGATTGTTTATCCGAAGCATCTATAAAAATGTTAGAACCAGACTACAGCATCAAAGATATTTTCAAACTTTATGCATGGTATCTCTGACATCTAACTCTATACTGTTTTCACTTTGTAGAGTGTTGTATCAAGAAGTAGATATTCATACTGCAAGTAACCGATTTTGACATTTGGAAAATCATTGAAGTAAAAAACTTTTCAGATCAAGTCCAATAAAGAAACCAAGTTTTTTGCATGTCCATTTATTATTCTCCAGTTAAAATACAGGTACGATAGCAGCACTGGATAGGTGAACAACTTGATGGACAGGATATAGATTAGGATTCAATCTATCCGTATATGATGCTGTCTATGCAGAAACTTGGTCGATTGATTGGACTTGATCGCAATATTTCAATTTGAAATGATTTGTTATCACTCATGAAAGATTCGGCCAACTGACCTAGTTTAATGATCGTCACATTGCTATGACTAGCGGCGAGTTCTCTTAAGTTCTATAAAAGGTAGAGATATTAAAATATGAGTGCGTTCAATTGCTATATGTCATTGTTTCCTCTACTGTATTATACCATCATATGAGTATTTGCAGATGATCTCGGATATACGAGCTTATTTAATAAACTGCTCTAGAACGCATGGTGTTTCTGTTGATATTCGAATGTACAACATACTCTCTAATCCACCATTCAAAATATTGCAATTGGGTAATACAACTAACCTTAACAGTATCACCCTCTGGAGAGCGACAAGTAGCAAAGATATATTTGGGAGACGGCGATGCTTTGGCTAATTGCTTGACAAATTCGAGTCCCAGTCCTCGATTCGCTCCAGTGATTAACACGCTCTTAAATTGGAAGGCCATGAGTATCCACTTGATAGTAATTGGATTGTACTTGCAGTATGCTGAGTAGAATAGGACAGTCTACCGGTGATATGAGAAATTCACCAGACAAGTTCTGAAGAAGGTGAAGATGGAAATGAGAGAGCAGATCTAGGTCAAGAGTGCTATAAACCTAGGTGAGCTGCGATGAGTATGAATGGTAGAGTACTGTAACTGACTAGGAAACAATGAGAAATGCTGAGTAATACCATGGTAAGCCAAGAGTAGTGCAATCATATCCAGTGATACTGTAATACTACAGTATGCAGTACAGACAGTTGTTTGCACTCTAAATTCATTACTGAAAAGGATCTGACTAGAAAGGATTTATTCATACTGTAATTAACTTCATAAGGCTTCGAGTAAACGTCTCTGGCTGGATACAGAACACCTTCGTAGCTGAGCAGTTAACTGTTGAAGCTTTAGTTAGAGACGTTAACAAGAGCAGCTATATTTCGTACCAGGGACTACAGATGCTAGATCTAGACCGTAGAATTCTACAGCACAGTCTAGTCCTCTCCTATGCTAACCTTTAACCTTCACTAACTTCCCCCAAAATCACTAATAAATTAATTTCTATAATTGGAGTTCAGATCTGATCCGTCACCATGGCAACGTCCATCCCACTTTTAGTGACGTAGGAAAAGATCCATATTTGAAGCCAGGTATTATGACGTCATAAAATCCGTGGCAACATACCACTGACATAACTATTGCTCCTATTATAGGATATTATAGCTGGTTAGAACAAAAATAATGTCGTGCACCCGAAGCCAGTATTGGCGATATTATTTTTTCTTATTGATCATACTATATCGTATAATCTATACAAAAATAATGTCACCCTGAGGCGCACTACCCCTATTGGCGACATCATTTAGGCTTCTAGACTCTACTGTGATCTACAATTTAGAACAAAAATAATGTCATGGTTATGATCTTGTCCAATAGAAAGCTTGAACGATGGATGGTGACGTCATGAGTGAATCGATTGCGAGTACTGTTCCGTTCAGGACGACGCGCTATGGGCATTTCTATCAGTCCTGCGGCAGCGCACGACTTCTATACGATTTGGACAGCTGTGCTGAAGCTCTTTCAAATCTATCCGGACTGCCGACATAGACGTAAACAATATGGAGTCGATGGATTAGGGAAACTACCCGTCCGATTTCAATGATCAAGTAGGCAAATAACTTGAAAATCGTTGCGTTTAGACTCAATTTTAGTATAAAATAAACTCATTGATATAAGGAAGAGAGAATATGGAAGAGTATTACAACATTTGCTCAATTATACGCAGCCTATTCTGCAAAGACATATTATAAGGTAACGGCGACGACAACAACAAGCTATGACACCTATGACGGCCCTATTACCAGGAGAGGATTTTTGGGGGGGACTTTTGTGCTTAGTAGAATAGATGTATATGTGCTATTGCACTGATGAAATAGGTATAGGCAGGTTGTAAGACATTTCTTATACTGATCGAAAGCTATACAAAGAATAGAAATGGTAGTATCTTGATTTTTCCGTAAATAGATTTAATTACAGTTGGAGTCTACACAGGTTTCGACCTTGTCGTAAAACCATAATGGCTATCCTTGTTATCATGGGTAAAATCAAGGAAACAACGATTCGCTTAACCTTGTGCTGCTCTAACTTACCTTACAAACGTTTTAATAACGATTTTTAGAGTCTAAATTTGACGCACAGTAAGTAAGTAACTATTCAATTTTAACTTTATAATGTTATTACGGGACTGGTACTGCCACGGTTAATTTTTAATTTAGATACTCAGTACGCCATATGACAGACGTCGATAGTGCTGCAACGATGTTCTTGTTAGTTAAGAGCAACATTAATTGTAAGTGTAAAGTCATCTTTAGTCGTACTATAATTCTATGGCATATTCTTATGGAAAGACGGGCCCATTCCACGTTAGAAGAGTAAAACTATAGAAAAAGGGTATGCTAACTTGTTTATCGTGCATGCTGGTTACTGGAAATGATAGCATAGTCAATGTATAATATCTGTCAACTTGACTATGTCCACATCTTAGACTACTCGATGCACCATGACAGCAGTGCTTGGTTCTTATCTACACTAAATAATATCGAATGTTCAGATCAAACGTTTTTATGTAAAGGCAAAAAAATACATTTAGAATGGTAAAAATGGTAGAAGAAGGAATATCTCCGTGGTATCGTTAGAGGCTCCATGGGTAGCAATATTAAGACTTACTTCAAGTATTGTACTGTCTATGCAATAATTAATGTAAGAAGAACTTCAGCAATAAGTTTTAGTGGGCTCTTTTCCACCGTAAAATACAATCGAAGGTTCTTATACGCCTGTCTAAAGATGACGATATTCATACTGATATAGAGCAATCAAAACGATAGAAAAGGGAATGTCTCATGGTATCATGCATTAGAATTGGTTGAAATAATTTCAATAATATAATAAGATAGTTAATATTTTCGATTCGATTGCTTCTAAATAGATGCATAGATTAAATTTCGATAATTGATCCCTTACTAAATTTAAACGGTATTGGTGATGCTGTCGCATTTGGCTACGATAGCGTATAGAGCCAGCGCCCTCAGCTATGTTTTAAACCAATGTATGGTTGCCAGTGATCTAGAAAAGCTTAAAAGTACTTCATTGAACTGCCGATCGAATAACTTACACTAAACCTCATTGAAGTATACCGCGAGAACGGTAATTTGTTATTTCTTGATTACAGACATTCTCGAAAATCAAAACAACAGTTAAAAGTATGGGACACAGCGGTTACTGATACAGGCTATCATTTATCCAAAAATCAGATCATAATCTAAAAGATGTGTTATGGAGTATTCCAATTATGCATTCTGTATTACGCTAGAAAATTTATTGAAAAATGGGACGAGTACAGTGTGTTTAATTGACTATCGCGATCTTAGAATTAGTACTACGCATACCTTAACGAGTAGATATAAGGTGTTGCAATTCTAACTACATGATCTATTTAGACTATTTTTTGAAATAATAATTATAATTTTTGGAAATGTGCATTTAAATTGTTCATAAAAACTTGATTCGTTAATATAATTTATACTCTGTCTATGTTTTGCAGGATTCTGTGGATGGTACCAATTTATTCCTTAAATTCGGTTAGTTAATCTAATCTTGTCGAGAATGTAATTGCTGTATTCATGATTCAATATACGAGTACTAGTAATGATATTGAAACGATGAATTTCAAATATTAATAGTCTTTAAACCTACAGTATCGACATCTTTTTTGGTGTGAAATCAAACTACTAGATACTTGTATCATGATAAACTTACATTGAATAGGTTTTAAAGAATGCTTATATAAACTATCCTCAATCTTAAAACTCATCAATAATTTGCTTCTAATTACAGTGGATCGCACTCCGTTTTCCAAAAATTGGATTCTATTTTGATACTGTTAGACGCTGCTATGAAGCGTACGTGTTATACAACTTCATGGTTTACCTCTTAAACTTTCTGAAAACGGAATATGACATTGTTGCAAGACTACAGGAGAAGCCCCAAATAACTCATGTTTTCCCATTTTGTAAACTTAAGGCATGGAAGAACGGCAGGTAATACGAAAGTGTAGATACTAATTAGTTACATTAGTAAGCATCCATAAGATGGCGTGAATCAGCACAGCTGTTGATTGATTATCAAAATTATAACATTTCTTGATTCATCGTACTGTTTATAGGCCCTTCCTAATTAGGTGTAAACAAGGAGTACTAACTTACGTTGTCATTATGCCTCTAACAACATTAATTGCTTTGTAAGTTTGCTGCATAGATCAAATTTTTAAATCTATCGAATAAATTTTTAACCCTTACATCTAGTGTAATACTCCTTATTGCAATCTTATACCCAATAGAGGTTGTCATCTCGCTGGAGCTTATCACGAAGGAGAATTTAACTTTGCTTATCCATATCCTTACATAATAATTATTGATAACTTTACGCAACTGGTATGTACTTTCTTTGCCAAGTAGTTACTATCATATCAATTTACAATAATTCGTATTAGAAGAAATAATTGTATGTTATTTTGAATCTTTCTTTTCAGATCGCTTTGTATTGTCTAACGTTGTTCTACAAAGCCTTTAAAGAAGAATTAAAACCAATTAAACCCATTGGAAAATTTGCTGCAATCAAATTTATAATTTTCTTTTCATTCTGGTAAGTTGGCCACGGTTTCTAGTTATGAGAATAGCAGGAACTGTTAACTGTGCTGTGTTACAGGCTGAAGTTACAAAATTGCTATTTTTAATTTCAAAACATAACTTTGTTACCTTGTCTAGGCAAGACTGCTTCATTTCAGTACTGGTTGACGTAAGAACCTTCTAGATCGAAATATTTAAGAGTATTTTTCATCGCCAGTATTAACACTCGCGTAACAATTTTTGTTTGCAGACCGGAGTTATTAGGGCTAATAAGCAGTGGAATTTTTACGACCCTGAGCTAGTTGCCAAAGGTTTACAGGTAAGATATACGGGCTCTAATAAGACCTTATGGCTCAATTTAAGATAGAAGGTTGCTAATCGAATGATTCAATGTTATTCTCGAATGAAATCATCACAATATTCTATTGACCATTTGTTTTTAGAACTTCCTTATATGTATCGAAATGTTTATAGTTGCCCTATTACACTACTTTGTCTTTTCTCATAAACCTTATATCGACGGAGCGGCACCTCATACTTCGTTATATACATCCTTCATGAGTATGTGGGATGTTTCCGATGTTCACCAGGATGTCGTTGAACATATGAAAGGCGTTGGCAAATTTAATCTTTTGGGCAGAGCTAAACGGAGCCGAAACCCAATGGAAGTTAATCTCTTAGCTGAAGAGACTGAACTTAATGAAGCAGAAACTAGCAGATTACTTGAAAATACTGGTAGCGATTCAGCTAATGCACGTACTGATGGTATCAATGAAAGTGAAACTGCTGTTATCATTAGTGGTGCTCCTGATAACAAAGTGGATGATTTACGTAGTGGTGTGACTGAGTGATTCTGTTGCAACATGATACTCTATGTATTGAATCTAATACTAGATTCTGATTCACTGTTAGATTCCTTCTTAATGTCAAAGACTTACAGTATTTATCAAAACTTGGGAATATAAATGTCGGAACGCGTGAGATCACTTTGTGATAATAACTTCATAATTGTGCTATCGTTTATATATCTGAATTTCTACGTATAAAAACTATGCAGCTAATCGATCAGTTAAAATTTCTTTGTTGTGTATTATACAGTATTAGCGTTCACAGCTGCACAGCTCTTGATATTAACAATTACGAAATTTTGCATCAACTTAAATGTAAAATTGGCTTGTTTAACATGAAAAGTGGTAATGTCATATTTTAAACTTTTCATTTATTGCATTCACCTTGTACATAATATCAAATCACTTTTATCAATGATTTAATAATCGAAATGAATATGCTGGGTGTGTGGCGGGGTTAAATAGTAATTTTATACACGTGAACGTAAGTGTAAATTACTATCGTCAGTATGAATCCCTGACTTTTTTAGTGAGATTACATTAATCTGAGTTTAGTTAAAGCGGAATCGACCGCATACTTACCGTTGGCTTTAAAACTCATATAATAAGTGCAAAGTATGATATTAGTAACTAAAACAACACTGCTGACAAATATTTTTTATCCTTTATTAAGTTTTAATTGCAAGCTTGATTATATCGCCGTAAAAAATTGTAATATTTAAAAAATACATAAATGTGTATATACGTCGTATATATATATGAACTATATAAGACTGTTTTGATAAGAAACAGTTGAGTAATGTCGATAACAAATGGAAGGCAATTCATTACTGTAACCGTAGATGAATGCTGATTCTACGTTAATAGTATAATTAATGCGTATAGTACTCAACGTTTTTAAAGACAGGAAAATACATTGTAAAATTAATTTTGTATGGTTTTCCGTCATTTGGAGTAAATTTCGTATCGCATCATCAATGTATATGAGTATTTGCGCTACTCATAGCGTTCTATACATTTGTAAACACATTTTCGTGCACAAATTCGATCACGATTATAAATAAAACATGATCAACCGATTTCAAAAGCGGATTGCGTTGTTGTGAAGAAATTAAATAATGATAATACAGCACTAAAGGAAATTTCATAGTAAATACATTTGCTTTCGTAAACCCGTAGTATTGAATAAAACATGATTACTCGAATTCAAAAATATGTTGGTGTTATTGTGAAGAAATCAAGTAATGTGATATCGCTTACATAATAGTAATAATAAAGGATATTTCACAGTAATGTATTACTTGCATGTAGTATTAATTAAACTTGATTAAAGGATGCTAAGAATGGTTCGTCTTATTTGTGAAGAAATCAAATAAAATGACCTTGCGTAACAAATGATAATATTAAAACGGTATCTCATATTAACCCATTTGTTTCGTATAACTATAGCAAAAAATCAAGTTTACTAAAGATCCGAAAATTAATTTGTTGGAGTAAGTTAAACTGCTTTCCACAAATTGGAATCGAAAAGTGGAGTACGAGTTAAAATAACGGATAAATTTAAACGAAAACTCATTACAAATTACTTCATAATTTACTGTTGTGTTTAATAAGGGCATCTTGCAGCATTAGGGTTATTCAAAACTGAAACCATCATCGTATTATGATATGAGATTATTGCGTCGCTACTATATACAAATATACGAATAATTCATTTTGCACTGTAGATTAGAAATTCATCCTCTAGGGCATTTTTTCCAACCCAAATGTCAAGCTTTGCCATAAAGCGGCAGACTCTTTTGGAAAATTGGTATAGTCCGTAAAGTCAACGGTCCAAACCCCTATACCGCGTATTTTCATACTAAATATATAATCGCTCTTTAGCCGCATACTCTCGGCATCATCATAGCACACTTGATGAATTTCTCCAGTATTTCGCTTGTAATTGAAATATGGAGTCTTTGTAACAGGGTTCCACTTTCGAGTGTTGTTATGGTTACGGAGACGGTTGCAAATAGCTCCGTAGGTAATGGACGCTTGATTTGGGTCTACTTTCCAATCATCACTAGGTATAATGAAAGGAAATTTTGATATTCTCCTCTTTGGTTTAGTAGCATTATTGGTCGATGCAAGTGCGGAGTCTTCCTTAATGATACAGTAATCTGCTCCAGGGGGAATTATACACTTGTAGTCATAACCATACCAAGGTTGGATTACGACCAATTTTTGAGGATTTATGCCAGCATTTAAATAAGATTTAATACCTGATTTAAAATGTAAGTAAGAATGATAAGAACGATTATTCACGGTTGCATTAATGTAATCATACAGCATGAATGTGTAAAAGTATATACTGTATATACTTTTAGTTTTAGTGAGCTATATCCAGGAGTGAAGTACTGTTCTGTAGATCACATGTATTTGATAGTCAAACATGATTTAAAGGATAGCCGTACGTCGCTTATTAGATGGACGTACTACAATACTAAAATATTGCAGTGTATTTCTGAGATTAGAATAAGCTATTTACATAACTAATTTTTTAACCACTAAAAGCAGTGATCATACGAGTATAACACATATACGTATACTAAATTAGATTAAGAACTATTCATTTTTAAGACTAAGTATGCATATACACATAAATCTATCAAGAAAGTTCAAGAGACGAATTACCTTTAACAGTATTATAATACGGAGAATTGGAGTATGCATATTTTCGACCATTTTCGTCGTAATTCATGGTCATGATAAAATCGACGACTGATGCTATCGTAATGCTGTCAGAACATGAGTTTTGTTCGCAATTGTCGATATAGCCTGCATCGTATGTTACCTAGGTTAGGGCAGATACAAGAATAATTTATAAAGGTTGACCAAACCAATTTCGAACATGGCATAAGCTGTACAATCAGTAACTCGACTAAAAGACATCATTGAATGTAAATAATTTAAGAGAGAGTTTGATTACCAGTGATCCAGGGAAGATGGCATGAAATGCAATTGTGGTTCGATTGATAAAGTCGACATGTTTCTTTGCCTTTAAGGAATTGATTGGATAGTACTTTTCTGTATCGATGTTGATTCCATCTAAATGTTTATCCGCAACCTATTAATATCCAAATGGCAGATTTTTAAAACGCAATGTTAACTCTATGGTTACTCTACTATTTCAATTATTGATCTACAATAATTTTTATAATCTTCAATTATATAATAGTCGTAGTAATTAAATTAGCGAAAGCAATAACCGAGCTCAAATAGTGCTATTTTTATGGTATCTTTTAAACGATAAGTCATGTTAAATTCTTGCCAACAATAATTCATGGATTGTATAGTACTTATTTGGATAGCTGTAATGACTTTCACGTTTCACAAAAGCACACATCCAGTACAGCGAGATTTTGTTACCTTGTAAGATTAAATCATAATCTGAAATGATCTTATTCTCAGATTAGTTTGCTACGAATTTTATTTAAATATGTGTCATGATACGGTGGTTAACAACGAATATTGAATGTTGATGGTATTACAGCCATGTTTATAGTAACTCCAACGTTTTCCGAAAGTATACACATACTGCACAGCAAGAATTTCGTTAGCTTTTAAGTCTAAATGACAGTCTGAAGTGACTTCATTTTAAATTACCTGGCTAGAAATTTTATATCAATCCATACAGAAGTAACAGCTGATGTGTGATCGTCAACAACTAACTTTAAAGGTTCATCAAATTAGATTAACGAGCTCAACTGTTGTTGAAAAAACTCTGTAGGAAATCAAAATCGCGCAGAAATGCGATTTGTCTATTCTCATATACACGGATTGTCAATAGTCACAGCTAAACTTCTAGTCATGCTCTATTTACGTTTCCAAATATGGGGGATGTAAAACTAGCAAGAATAGAACGATTGCGGTTTGATTTCTCTACAAGTTTCTATTCTTGTATAGCGTTACTTTAATCGTCACTTCTGATCTAGAATTAATTTTACAATTGTAATAACGCCTAGCATAATAAAAATAACTTCATCTCACCATTTGTATGGTTTCCACAGTCCAAGATTGTTGTAGTGTTTCATTTTCAATGGCAGCTTCTGGGAATTGAACCAGAGCTAATAATCGGACATTTCTAGCATGAGCATAGCATAACAAATGTGGATCGACATTCTTTAATTGCACTTCATCCAATACTAATGTGGTTAGATAAGTCCAGTTGTAATGTAGCCAAGCATTTTGATAGACCGTAAATCCAATCACTTCTGGTCTGTTACCGACATTAACGGGTCGACACAAGGATTCAGGTTGGCAAGGACAAGCCTTGGTAGATTGTAAACCCGTAACTAAAGTCAAACCACTGATCAAGACTAGTACTATAATTTTAATCATGATCGTTGCTCTTTCAAGTCGATGATGATCGTCGTTAATGAATGTGTTTATGTAGCTGGCAAATGGCTGCACTCAATCTAAAACGCTGTGTTATCCCTCTTCTTGCTGGAGAAGAATGTCTTCAACTGGATTCCAACGGTTATAAACTACAATCCGTTTGGTTAGCCAGTCAATCTGACGTTACTCTGACCAAATTTCAGCGGAATTAGACGAAAATGATGAAAGTTGATGAGAATAGAACCGCGATGATCGATGTTTTCCTTGCTCTAGTCCATCGATGGATACAACTAGCATCAATAAACAACGATAACATGACGGTAACGTGACGTCCCTGAAGTCCGTGGTGAAGATCGTATGACGTCATCATCGAGTAACTATGGCAACCACGCCCAAACCTTGCCCACGTTGGTCAACAAATGACCCAAAGGCTTGTTTAGGGTAAGATGGAGGTCGAATAGAGAGAGATCAGGACTAATGTCCCTGTTTCTGTTAGAGTTTAGCAGGATTCCCTTCGTATTGTGCTTAGAAATCCACTTTGCATTACAGGGTTGATCGTCGTCTCTCACTGTACTGTATTCTAGATGAATTTTTAGACATGGATATTGAAACACTGCGTTGAATGGATACCACAAATCTACAAGTTTTTGTGCATATACGTACAGTATAATCAGAATCAATGACGATGCCCATGAGCTAATTAAATTATTAATTCACTATGGTACAAACAAAATTAGGCTATATTGGGTTAGATATATTGCCCAATATTGCGCCATAGCATCAATTGAACATGAATGATATTGCTCGGCGGGAGTCTGTAGGATTTGTTGTCTTCCCACTCTTAGTCGTTGACGTATTTATCTATACTGTTGAACTATAGCGATTTACATTATTGGTGGCAATCGATATGAATTAATCAAAAAATGGAGACGCAAGACTGTAGTATCCAATTTTGTAGCTACTTTTTGACTACAGCCTTTTATCACTTAATATCTTACGTAGAATATAATGTATAGGTATAATTTACATCAGCTCATGAATAAATATTTCTAGATGGTAGTATCAACCTTTGTAGATATTTTTTGACTGAGAACAAAACAATAACAGACGTAAGCCAATTCGATCCTACAGCAATCTTGCTCCGGTTGCTATCTAGTACATTAATAATTGGACAATTTTTATCATCTAATCCCATTCTGCCACCCATAACTCTAGTTTAATATTATTCATCATTCTTAAATTAAGGCCTTATTAACAGACCTTCTCAGGTATTGTGACTTAGTACAGATTATACAAGCTGGCCGCCATACAGCATTTTCGGATTTGCATTGGCTGCTATTTCTATATTTGTTGATAGTAAAAATCAGCCCATGAAGAAGCATTCTTCCATTGTAGCGATAACTATCATGCACAGCAATCCTGCATATACGTATATAGCCTGGTATAGGAGATTAATGTTAACTACTGAAAAAGCATTGCTAGATCCAGCTCCAAGGCTAGAGCCTATAGACTATCAGCTTTCGCAGATACTCTTTCAAACTATTTTTGCAGCCATACATCGGGTTACTTTCCTATATACGGCCAATGAATATCAACAAATAACTAAATAAACATTCTTAAATCCAAGGCCATGAAATTAAGCATACATAGACACTGTCCTGCTTGATTTTGTACTTTTCGACTGTAGCCTTATATCGGCCGCTTTCTTGTATACAGTTTATGAATAAACAAACATTGCTAGAACTGAGACTGCACTATCAACCTTGGCAGATAGTATTGAATAGTAGTCTCGTATCGGTTGCCATCGCGTGTATGGGTAGTAAATATCCATTAATTATAAACTTTCCTAAATAGAAGAAGGGTATAGTATCGATCTTTGTAGATACTTTTTTAACTGTAGACAGTCTTGTATCGGTGGCCATAGTGTGCTTGGTGACCAACCGCGGATAGTGAATGTTTACTGAGTAATTGAGTTGAGCATTGACGTAAGCTAGGATTGGATTTAGTAATATTAATACAATCATGATTTTGTACTCCACTCTGTGTTAATTCTATTATAGTTTTAACGGTGGAGAAGCTTTCATTTCCCTTACTACAATACTGTAACTGAGTAAATTTAGATCGTAACTGGATATTCAGCCAATAAAATACATCATCAGACCGTCCATTAAAGTAATAGGTTAGTTGCATAGAGAAGAAATCCCACCTATCAATCATCGATGTAATAACTAGGATGATTTATGTTCAAGGCTAACAGAATTCAATAGGAAATCTGCATTAGATTGTGTTGATAACGCTGAAAAACCCGATCTTGCAATTGTAATTGCCAGGATTTATTCAAATTTATGATTTATTAGCAAGTATCCAGTACAAGCAGACAACAATAATATAACACTACGAGAGAAAATGGCATATCAGTCTACTACTTTTCTGATAGCTTGTTTTCTAAACTGGTTAATACAAATTCATGGAATCGATCAATGTCCTTGCCACACGCCATCACTTTGTAAGCCAGTGCAAATAGGTCCTCGAAGTGAAGTGGTAGCATTCTCAGTCTATCGCGGGCTTTGGAAATATTACGATTGGACTCATCTCACCACCATTGCTCTCTTTGAAGAACAATTGCCTAATATCGATCCTAATTTATTATGTTATGCTCACTCTCATCACGTTCGTCTCGTTCCTAAAGCTTCTTTTCCTGTCCAACAGTTGACTAATAAAACACATATTGATCAATGGATTAAAGATAAAGTAAAAATGGTAAATCAAGCTTTTTATCGAATTTTACTATCGAATGATGATATGATACGGACTGATAGGATATCATTACGGTTGCGGCATCTAAAAATACTATGATGGCAGTAGTAATAAAAGTAGTAAAATACTTATTCTAGATAAAAAAAAATAGCTTAAAGTGATATTGATGAAATGACTGTCCATAAAACATATATTTCTTTCAGTTAGCATACAGAAAGAAAACACAATTTACTTTTTCTAGTAGGAATAATAATAGGCTTCAGCTTTAATCATGTATTTGGCTATCTAAAACATTCAGAATATCAATTGAGAACAGTTTTAAGTTACTGATAGACCCCAAAAGAATTGTTCATTTTAGTTTGCATCAATCTTTGATTGTTAAAAGAAGAAATGAATTTCATTTAATGTCACGTATAGTTGAAGATAATTAAATCTCAATCTCAGCATGCAGCCGCACGTTCTTGGCATTAAATGTACTTTATTGACACGATTTTGATGAGTTACTAGTAGGCCATATTGCGAAGAAAACAGGGCTATTTATAATTTATCGCCTAATTCATCAATATTCAGGAAGATTAAAATAATATCTTGCTAATCGTATTATGTAAAATGTTTGATTCTTGCTCTCCTCTAAGACTATTAGATACATAGTCTATCATTATTCCGATGGATTCTAAACATTGAATTATAGATGCTTATAAGTACTTTCGCCTAGTTTATCTAGGGTATTGGAGGGTAAAGATGTCTAAAGCAAACTAGAACTTAACTCTACTACCGTGCTTGTTTCTATCAATCCTTTGAATATACATTATGTCTTTTTATCATTTTGACAATAGATTAAAACCAAATTCTTAGATGGGATTAATTTCGATATTGAACAGTCGATTCCAATTATCTCGCCTGAAGCGAATGATTTAATCAAGTTTGTTAATCAAACTACAACTGCTATACATTCTGCATTTCCTGGATCTCTGGTAAGTATCTATTAATTATCAATACAAAAGATATGAATAATCATGTTAGCCTACTTCAATAAAATGAAAAGCAGTAGAAGTTATTAGGGATGTGACGGTTTAGCCAACTTTATACAGTCTTGCTTTTTCCAGCCTATAACCATTTAATGGAGCTAGGATAAATAATCAAATTTTATGATGAAACGATAACTTAATCCCTAGCCTATAAAAATATTGACATACTATATTATGTATTGATAGAGTTTAAATGAGAATGGCAATACGTATAAACTCCTTCTAATCGCTTATAGGTAACATTTGATGCATCTTATTGGCCCCAATGTACTATTGGCCATTGCTACAAAAATGTAGCTATATCGAAAATTGTCGATTTCGTTATTACTATGAATTATGATGAAGAAGGGTCACTTATCGCCAGCGCAAATTCTCCATTTCGAAACACTGTTTACAGTAAGTGCATCCTGTATTTAGAAGTAAATAAAAAATTATTAAGCTTGACATGTGTGTTGACAATGAATAGCTAAAATGTCGATTCTAACAGAAATCACATTTTCCATCATTTTGGCAGGTATTCACGCTTATAAAAAAGCAGGAGCACAAATGTCTAAAATTGTCACTGCACAACCGTGGTATGGCTATAACTATCGATGTCTTGGCATTTTGATCGATGATATTTGCGTTAACTTTTCAGAGAAACTATTTTTAAAAAATGTGGCAAAATTATTTAAGAAAATGAAGCATGGTTTGATTACTAGAAGAAATGTAAAATGGAATATACAAGGCAATGATGACTCAAGTAAGAGTTCTATTGAATATGGAGAAATTGAAAAATATCTTAACAGCAATAAAACCTCTGGATCTAAATGGTCCAATAGCTCGCAATCACCATATTTTAATTATAAGGATGCAAAGGGTGCAATACATCAAGTTTGGTATGATAATCCAAAGAGCTTAAGTATTAAATATAGTTATGCCATTAAATCTGGTATAAGAGGAATTGGAATGTGGAGCACCGATTTTCCTAATTATGTCCAGTACCCCAAAGAATCGGCAGCAATGTGGAAATGCATTGATACAGTACTCAAAAACTCGAAACCTTAATGTTTTCTAGCTTAATAACAGCTTGAAATGATTTAATTTTCGTTCCTTATTTCAATGCTCAATATTAAATATAAAAGATCATATATTAATCCTTATAGAACAATGATCAAACCGTAACAAATTTCATTTTGAAATTGCTGAATGTACGGCAACTGATTCTTATTTATATGAGGTTCTAATTAGGGGATCATAAGGCAATCACTTTTTAAGGAACACTCGAAATGTTAACTTCTTCTAATTTATGTGTAATTCTTAAAATCACGTTACATAGTTTCAACTACTTTCTTTGACCATCATCAGGCTATATCAAGACCATAAATATCATTGTTGTATCTTGGTAATAGCAATATTCTATTCAAAAAAATTTTCTCCATGCATACTCTAATGTGCATAAATCACAATGTTAATTAATTTGGATTAATTTACCTTTCGTTTTTACTTACTCTTTCGTATTCTCATGATAGTAATATCGAATTGGCATATTGAATGCTTATTTTTACTTTCTTATTTTTAGCATCCGTTTGAATGACAAAGAGAAAAAATCTCTTTAATATCGATAGTTGTAAGAGCATACAGTATAACAGACTTCACAAAGTGAGTGGCTCAAATATAAATTACAAAAAGATGACGATGATAGTGCATTCCTAGCGTTTACTATACTCGTATATCGGTATATACGTGTGTAATTTTCACTATATGGACAAATTTTAAAACTTGCAATAAAAAATAAATCGATAAAATGTGTTTTTAAATTATACTACAAATCCAGACTTAGTTGTTGTTCACATAACATCAGTAGTAATTCTATGCAATAAGATTGGATATTGCATAATAAACTACCGATATACTTTTGACTATAGGCCATAACTTCTTGGTGATGCCCTTGAATTAAAGTTTGCTACTTTAGAAGGCTGATTACATAAATATCTCGGCCATCTTAATCTACTACTTGCCGTTTATTATTTTTTATGTTTAGATATTGTTCAAAGCATTATCGATTTCTTAAGCAAAAGAATAAGCAAGAAATTTTATACTTTGCCAAGGAATTGCCGTACCTTGTTGCCCTATATAAATTGAAGCTGTTGTATAATTTATTGGAGGATATACGAGTAATACGAATGTAACCTTCAAATGAGCAAAAAATAATAGTTTATAATAACAATTTACTCTTCGGCTAACAAAATAGTTCCATTGATTTTCATCGGTGGTAAATGCCGGTTTCTTTGATACTATGGATAGATTAAATTAAATTTTTACAATCTCTGCAACTATTAGCAATACATACGGAAACTATATAATAAATACTATCAGAAATCAATGACAAAGATCTTAACTACTTCTTCACCATAAAAGCTGTTGGACTTTATAATTAGCAAATTAATGGGAACTTCTATCTCGTAGAGTACGATATTGATTGAAAAGTTGCGGTTCTTAATAGTAATGGATAGCAAATTTTAACAGATGGATTGGTATTAAGAAATAACTGGTAACTACATGGAAAATAAACATAGCCGGTATGCTGGAGAGCTAGTGTCCAGTGTGAAATATATATTATTGAAATAAGGTACTTGTCTATCGACCATTGGCACATATTTTTATTGGAAATTCGCCAATTACAAGTATCTCAATTCAAAAGTGAACAATATAAAAGGGTGAGTTAATACAGTATGAACATCAATGTTGGTAAACCTTGTTAGCGAAAATGTGTCAAGAGATAGATTCAAAAAGTAATTACGTTGTAATACAAAATATATTTCTTCTGTAATGTACGCTATGTTAATGCTTTATCAAGGTTAAGGAGTCATCCTAGCTTTACAAATTTCTTCGTAGAGCTGGGTATGATGGTTAATGTCAATCGCTTCGTTGTAAACCGTAAAATAAGCTTCAGTACATAAACAATTGCTTCCGTTATTTGTTATCAATTTATTATTGGATATTGTCTGGTAAATATACACTTCTCTCTATACATATTAGTTAAAATAACAATTGAGAGTTATCTGTTACAACATTACAAAAAGATATTAATGCTGAATCGCATTAAAATTTTTGTAATTTTATTTAAAGTACTCTTCAAATCCAAAAATAATTCATTCTTTTTAAAAGTTAATGATTAAATATGCAGTAGCTATAAACCCTTTAGAAAGATAGCTAGTTTACTTACTCAAATTACGTAAAGAATAATCCGATACAGGAGTAACCTCGTTATAGTGTAAGTTCATAATATAATATTAAATGACTTTGTTTATACAATAATTTTATTTACGGGTAGATTGATTGTTAGCAAAGGTTTCAATTAAACTATAGTTCCTTTAAACAGTAATTGCGTTCCACATTTCTTTAGTTTGATTCTTAGCACTGGGAGAGTTGCCGTAATCTAAAGAATCGACGGTCCAAAATGCTAAGCCGCGCATCTTAAAAGTATGTTTTGCAGTTTCATACTTTAACTTTAAGCTTTCAGGATCATCGTACCAAATTTGATGTATTTTATGATCCTTAGCTGATTTATAATTAAAGAACGGTGCACGAAGAGTACCGTTCCAAATTCTATCCGTTGTTGCATTGTGAGATAGAAGCATTTGAATTTTCGAATAGCCATGCTGTAATCCAGCTGCATCGCTGCAAGGGGCTCCTCGAAACGGTACTTTTTTAATTTGGCAAATGTTATCGGCCGTTACATTTAGGCAAATATAATCATAACCATACCATGGCTGGCCTAAAACTAACTTGTCTGCGGTTATCCCAAGATCTAAGTACTGTTGTACACCTAAAAAGTAAGCGTCAAACATTACTCTACATTAGCTGATCTTGTCAGAATGATAATACTGTAGGTCTATCATGATTAAGCAGTTTACTTTGTTATAGAGGAACGAATTGATTCTTACAGCATTTAATACATACCCGTAAAAGTTTGATTAAAGGGTGAATTAGCACTAGCGACACAGCTACCATAAACTTGACTACGCTCATCATAAGACATTACAACCATAAAGTCAGACACTTTTGCTATGCTTGCGTAATCATAGCAACGTTTATCGATACATTTCGGAGACCAAGCAACATCAATAGAGACCTATAACGGTATAAGCAGTAATACTCGTAAAGCATCTAATTAATGAGATCAGTCATTGAACTTAATTATTTCCATCGAGTCTATGGAATCATGCTTAAAAGTCACATGCCACTAATAATTAAGGGCAATGCAATGTCTTACCTGAGAGCCAGGTATCTGTGAATGAAACGAATCCGTCATCTCCTTTACAAGAGCTATTAAACCTTTGCTTTCCGCAGAGTTCTTCAGTATTGGTTGTTCAATATCAATATTGATACCATCTAAGTAATATTTTTTCGCCTAAAAAATCGCAGTTTAAATTTGAATCAGTCAAAAACTGAATCTGCTAGTATACTACAAACTCCGATTCGGTTAAGATAGCTAAGACAGATACTGACTGTTCAAGAGTGAATCTCTACCACAGCATTACACTAGTATAGCACTAGCTTATTGAACCCTAAGAGTTACCTGTGCAAGAATTGAATTGAATCTATTACCACAGTATCAAACTAAATTACAACTCTAGTTTAGTTAATTCTACGAGTTAACTGTTTAAGAACAATCGAGTTTATTGCCACAGTATCAAACTATAGTTATAACTCGAGTTTGTTTAAGCCTATAAATTAACGGTTTGAGAATTGAATCCAATATCACCATCAAAACAATGATTTACATCTTCCTAATTCTTTTAATTAATAGAACTAAGAATGCTACGAACTATTTCATAACCGAGTGTACTACCATAGTATGAAATCATAATTATAACCTTAATTCATAAAATACAAATAAGAAAACTACTAGCTGTACGTAATACATGTACTTTTCGTACCAGAATCCATTTCATTAGCTTTTAGAAGAAACGTAATCTACGAACACCCTATGTATCAATCCTATTTCATTCTGATAACTATACACAGTACCAGAGTAGAATATAATTACTTAAAATATCGTATTATGATTTGCTATCCTGTCCATTCTTTCCTTGCCATTTATGTCTAAATCCATTACCTTGGCTACATTGCTTTTAACATAATCCGAACGTTGATGTTGATTGGTAAGATTTTTAACAGGGTAGTCTGCAACCAGGACAACCCGTACATTTTTAGAATGAGCATGGCACACTAACTTGAGGTCGATAGTTTTTTGAAATAGGACTAAAGTTGTTAATTTACTCCAATCATATTTAGGCCATATCCCATGATCGACAGTAAATCCGATGACTTCTTTCCGATGGCCAAGTTGAAGAGGTTGGCATAGAGACATTTTCGAACAGGGGCAAGATTTGAACGTGCTGCGGTGATTGTGACTGAGATAATTCTGCCATAGTGTCAGCGAAATCACAGCAATCGTTATAATAACATAAAAAATTGTTACTGCTTGCTTCATGAGTGGATTCGATTACTACTGGATTACAATCAGACCAACAGAAAGCTTAAAAATATCGAGGAATTCCCATCGCAATCAGCTTGCATTGGCCTATTTACTTTTGCCTTTCTTGTTGACGACTAGTCCCATAGGGGATGCTTGGGGTAAGTGCGTGCAGGATTCAGTATACTACCTCAGACAGTAGTTTGTAGACTATACGTACGCCTGTAGTGTAGCTGCAAGACGACATCACGATATCAAAATGCTGAATCGTACCTGGTCTATACCGAACCGTACGCTTTACTGTAGTATAAAAAATATGTGCAAAATAGATGTCGCGCAAAGCTGTATGGTACACTGTAACTGTATCTCAAATTATGACATCTATTTGAAACAGAATCCAATGGGCTGACCGTACTATAGATCGTGCTAACGTGATGACGTCATACAGACGAGGATAATAGAGTAACCGGGTACTTTGGTACAATAAGCTATGATAATACCCATACAGTATCTAGAGTATAGGCATTCAGTAGAGCTTGAATCATCTATAACTCGATAGCAGAAACAATAGACGAAAGGTAGAAAAGCTAGACTGAAGAGCTGTCACCCAGTACGCGTGCGTAGATCGGTATCTAAGTAACGGCAAAGTCAAATCTGCTGATCTTCTTTCTAGCTTACCTGGATAGTCTCATTTGTTCACTTTAGTCAACAAATTGTATGAAAACGCTTACTACCACATTTGTCAACTTGAGTTTGCTATCGCCATACGCATCATTACTAATACATTTAATCTGAGGCATAAAATTACAAGAAAATGGGATTATTTGACAGATTTTCAGGTTGGTTTCGCTCAAAGAAGAAGGAATGTAATATCTTATGTATTGGGCTCGATAACAGCGGCAAATCAACCATAATTAATCGTTTAAAACCCGAAAAGGTATTGTATATCGATACAGCATAGTAATTGATATTATTCACTATGTAATCGCTATCAAAATTTATTTTAAGCGTCTTATTGAAAGTGTCGCTCTTTGGAATATTTACTTGAGATTGATTGAACAGGCCTTAATAAGAAGAGTTATAATAAGTAATTATCAATATTTATCCTAGTACATGAATTAAGGCTTGGGACTAGTACCACTAACCTTGAAATGTATTGCCCTAAATCGTTCCCTAATATCCTTTCGTGACACTACGCAAAACAGACCAAGCAATGATTGATTCGAGATTGTGATACATTCTATATATGTTTTATCAATTCAGTAATACACAAATTCACAACTAAGTAATCCAAGCGGATTGCCATCTCAATATACCTATTTAAATTAAATCAATCTTTTGATAATTTCAAAATATCAACCCGAATCTAAAAATCCAAAGGCGAAAGTAAATACTGATATCAAATAGCTATCCATTAATCTAAGTGATATACTTATTGTCGCATGGTATTAGTAATGTGCCTACTAATGATACTCTAACTTTTAACATGATTTTAAAGACGTAATAAATGTTACGGAATTGTTATGTTGATTTTATCCAGACGCAGCAGCTGGATATAGTTCCAACGATTGGGTTTAGCGTTGAAAAGTTTGCGTCAAGAAAGTAAGCGGCCTTTAATACTTAACATAGATACAATCAGTTGATGTTACACGCGATTTCTGATCTTATCGGTTTAAAACATTTTCTTAAATTTTAGTTTATCATTTACTGTCTTCGACATGTCTGGTCAAGGAAGATATAGAAATCTATGGGAACATTATTATAAGTAAATCTATAATAGTCCATTTGTGAAATAGCTATTCCTGAAGTGTCAGTCTTAGTTTAAAAGACTGTTATTCTTAGGGTAGATTTGATATAAGCTTATATTATAATGAACAGAGTAACATTAACAATTATCTCGCTAGATTTATCCAAATCTATCATATAGTAAAATGGAATAGTTTAATTACTAGCTAAAATAGTCTAAATGAAAACGTATGGTAAAACTTAAGGACAATGTTGGTATGTTTCTTTTACATCAAATAGAGAAGCACAAGCCCTTATTTTCGTCTTAGATAGTAGCGATAAATTGAGGATGGTTGTAGCTAAAGATGAACTAGACTCTATGTTAAAACATCCAGGTAAATATATACTTTAATAATATTTTTGTTTCTGTAAGATTGTTTTAGTTATTTCCAATTACAGTTACCAAGATTTAACTAGAGAGTGTAAAACTAATTTCGGTTCATTTAATTTTCACTAACAGAGATTAGACATAAACAAATTCCACTTTTAGTGTTTGCTAATAAAATGGACTTAAAGGATGCTATATCATCTGTTACGGTAGGTTATATTATTATTTCGGCTCTATTATCTTTTACAGCAAAAGATTCTTCTAATACTGTAAATTCTAAAGTAGCACTTAGAAGAAATTTTTACCTTATTATTATAATTAACTTATAGTGCACAGAATTAATGGGACTAAAAGAAATTGCTAATAAACCTTGGCATATATGGTAAGTGATTATCTTACAGCTTGTTGTGGATTTAAATAACCGGTATCGTTGAGTTTAATGTGTATACATGATATTTTCTATGTAGTGCCAGCAATGCTCTAACTGGAGAAGGATTACATGAAGGCGTTGAATGGTTAACGGGTAAGTCCTAATCATTCCTGGGTAACAAGAGAGTATTTCATGTTAATTTGTTATAGTACGATAATATTATTATTATATTTATACTAAACGATATGCTGTAACAACTCTACGCTTCTTTTTTGTAGATCAACTTCACTCAGTAAATCAGAAAAACTGATATCAATGACTTAAGAATTGAGATAACAAAGCAATCTCCAAAGTAGCATCTCTTTTCTTTTTAGTTATTAGCTTCAATATAATAATCTACGTCGAAAGCAAAAATAGGGCATGATTGCCTTGGTCAAGATGGATCAATCTTTCATTTATTGAAAGGAATTGCAATTTAAATCATGTGTTACAAAAAGCGGTATCTATCTGAAATCTTTCATTTTATTCCTGTGACCTGGCCTCAATGTAAAGATAGTATGTTAAATACTACAGCATTACGGTACATTCATCAATTTGTAATGGGTTAGGTGGCCTCCCTATACCTGCCCACTTAAAACTGTCCATAAATTAAATAGGAAGCATACTGTATATTTGCATTTGTGAAATTATTAATAGCGAGCCTCTGATAAACGTAGATCTTAAAACGAGATCATGTACCCATTTTGTTTTTGAAAATACTATTTAATTCTAATTTACAGGTAATAAAAGTAAACGCACCATATCATCTAATTTATTCTTGTGTATACTATTACTGTACGATTGTCACAAGACATCTCTGCGGTGAGATATCGAAAAACCTAAATCTACCATCCTAGTCCCTGAGCCACGCGTTAGGATAATAAAATCCGTCCAAGAAATACTTGAGAATACTTATCCCTAATCCCATATAAAGGATTCTTAGTAATTGGTATGCCTTTAAGTTTACCTTTAACGCTAAACTTGAAAACTAATTTATTATGCAAATGCCGGGCTTGTGTGCCTTTCTACAACAGCTAGGATTATAATTAGTATCAATAGAGCTTAAAATTAGGCTGTAACTTTATATCTGAATGCCTAATTAATTAATAAGACAATATTTGCCGACATCGATTTCCGATGATTACCACAAGACAGTTAGATTACAACGTGCCCATTAACAGAATCATCAAGTCATAGACTCATAATATACGTACAATCTAATGTAAATTAGTCATAATGAAAGCACGAGATGTGTAAAGTATTATATATTTCGTAATCTAAATAAAGCTAGGACACTAAATATCGCTAACTTCTCTATGGCGAGATAGCACTATGGTAACTGTACATACTCTTTCATTCGCTATATTGTTTTATTGCAATTTCCAAATAATTAGTGACATGAATGCATGCTAAACTAATTTGGAAGTTGAAATATCGGTACTGTCACCATTAGAACGGAATAGAACTTACAAGCACATCATGAGGCAGAGAGCTTAGCAATAAAAGTTCGTTTGAGATATTGGTGCTCCATAAACATTCAAAGGATAAGATTGAGTTTATAGCGACGAACATATCAATTGCCATTAAGTCATGAAATCAGGCTATAATTATGTACGCGTACAATCCTTTTTACTTTGAAATGTTTTCAGGTACTACAATGTTAAAATACACACTTACATATGCAATACTTTGAAAGTATGCAATTGCTGTCAATACGTAATGAAAAATATTAGATTACTTTATATCATAGCAATCATAGTATAGTATCATTGCAGTTGACAGATCTTAGTGAAATTGATAGACTTGATCTAAGTACTATGTATTTAAGTAGTCATACTATTATAACTAAGATTAGGTAAGATACACATTGTCTACGCATCTAAACTTTACATATCCAATTATAACGTAATAATTGTCGACATTATCTATTTGAGCGACTAATTTATCGCATCCACGTTAGAAATGGGGCTATCAACAAATTCAATGAGGTAAGATGGAAAAAAAAATTATCAAAAATTCGGATTAGAAAAGTAGATTACAGTAGCATAATAACACAAAACAATTATGAACGCATAGGCTGCAGTATTACACAAGCTGATTATAAAGCAAAAGTACTTTTTAGTAATGATCTATAAAGATCTAAGTGCCAATTTTTAACCTTCATATAAAAATGGTTCAATTCAAGTCAATTTAGACTGTATTATTCGGGATATAAACAAAATAAAGAAGAATACCTGTACATTTGAAACTGGTAAAGAACTCAGATAGAAATCGTATTTTAACACAAAAGTCAACAATAATTTATCCATTTGTTTAACTTTATCGATACAATAAGACTACTACAATGATGACATCAAAAAAGTAAAGTTAAAAGTTGATTATAATTATTAATCTACGTCTTTAATTAAAATTTGATAATAATATATAATCTTTGTCCTTTGATGTTCTGACACAGGAATATTAGGACTTTGTATCTAGCATAACCCTTTCAATGACTACTGTTGTGAACGATAGCGTAAGGTTGCATTATAATTATTGAGCTACTGAATCAGTTTACCATACTACGGTAGATCAAAAAATATTACATCTATTCAGTCCCTTCCAATGTTGAGTGTAGAATATTTCAAACTCTGAGATTTGTCATTACTTATTATTACAGCGAATTGTTATGGTAAGCTACGGTGGTTGTACCATCGAGCTAGCGTGCAATGTTTGGTTAATGGCGATTTTTTGTTCGAGCTAAGGAAGTATCTGTCGTACAACATCCAAATGATTTGTCTTTTAAGCCCTTGCCAAAGTTTCTGTAAGCTTGATTCATCACAAATATCAAGACTAAGCGAACAATCAACGCGATAGTCCCCACTACAAAAATGGAAATATCCAATATCAACGCAGACCCTTCCTTAGGGACAACACGATAGGTTAGGAACACAATGGTTTTAGCGAACTTGTAGACAATATATCCTGGCTCACAAACCGACAAGATGATAAATATTATGACCATAATAACCGATTCGATTTGTACCGCTATATAGCCGAGGATAAACATGATCACTGCAATAGCAACACCAAGGCCGATAACCACTTTTTCCAATGTACTTAATTGAGTAAAATTAGAAACGATTAAAATGAGTAAACTAAATTGGAGCTGAAGGTCAAAATTGAGTAAAGCAGATAATCGGCAAACTGTTCGATAAGCTGTTTGTAATACTTCAGTAGCACCAACGATGTTAAATTCCAACCAACCAAATTCTTGAGCGGATTTCCAACATAGTCCAATATCAATGGGAGCGAGAACACATATCACTACTAAACGAGCAATTTTATATCCGCTGCGTTGCTTGGGATGAATTATAAATTCGATAATGACATAAAAGAGGACAATGACAGAAGCCGCAATAAATGCGTATAATTCAAATTCACGCTCACGAAAAACTCCATTAAAAGCGTAATATAAGCAGAAAGCAATATTTAAAAGTAGAACAAGAGCAAAGGTAAAATCAGGGCTTGACGGTTGTAGGACAGTCAAACGTTGAATGGTTAAACCCAGCACGGTAGCAAAGCTAACTAACGATGAGAAGAGGAATAATTTCTCCCACAAGGTTAATTTATCATAAACTTTAGTTTTGCCTATAGCGGTTTTTTGTGTGCTTGCTCCAGCAGTAATCCCCAGATCGGCTAAAGACGGGCCACCGCTTTCTTCCACTACATCTTCCATGGTGATAAAATGAACATCAAATGGCGAAGAGTTTTCAACTTGGCAAGTCATAATCCGCTCTAGCCCTTCATATCAGCTCCCAATCTCTTTGGCGGCAATGTACCGGACTCGGGGGGGTTTGCTGACAGCTTTACGTCATTGCCTTGGCAGTTAAAGTATGAAACGACAGCCTCACGCTTTGCTCCTGTGCGTTCCATACTGTATACAGTACTATAGTGTACCAAGGCTATTGTTACTGTACTGTACTGTACTTAATATCACTTTACGTACAGTACTTAACATTACAGTACTTTACGTACTGTACTCTACTCTACTCGTCGTACTGTACTGAACGCCCAAGACTCACAACTTAATATCACTTTACGTACTGTACTCTACTCGACGTACAGTACTTAACGTCACTTTACGTACTGTAGTGTACAGTACTTAACGTCACTTTTTACTATACTGTACTGTACAGTACAGTACTTAACGTCACTTTACGTACTGTACAGTACTGTACAGTACAGTACTTAATGTCACTTTACGTACTGTACTGTACTGTACTGTACTCTACAGTACAGTACTTAACGTCACTTTACGTACTGTACAGTACTGTACTGTACTGTACAGTACTCTACTCGACGTACAGTACGTACTGTACTGTACAGTACTTAACATCACTTTACGTACAGTACTCTATTCGACGTACAGTACTGTACAGTACAGTACTGAACGTCAAAGACTCACAAGTTGACAGTATCATCGGCGGGTCGAGTCTGCAGTAAAGCGAAGGCACGTTGCAAACAGCTCCCTTTGCAATTTTGCATCATCATCACGTCACCATTAACTGGATTCTAAACTTACTAATCATTCCGATATGGCAGAAACAGAAAAGTATGACGGTATTCTACTGAGTTTGGCTCAACAAATGGAAGAAGGTGTTCCACAAGTAAGAAATGCTGCTGTACTTGTAGAGCTTATTGTCAGACGAGTGTCAAACCATTCATGGAGGGTAGTTCATTAATTTGTCATTGCTGCTGTAATGTAGCCCAATGACAATTCATCGCCGTTTCTTACCTTCCATTATAGGCTATACAGGATTGAACAAAGTGTTGACGGCCTGTAGTAGCTTCCTAGTTTACAATTGGATAACTTATCACTCCCATACAATCACAGTTTCTAGCCATTTCTCTCCCTCTTCATTCATGTTACTGTAGGTAAATGCTTCAGTCGTGCGAACCGAAAGTAGCCTAAAGCACATTTTGCATACAGCGATATCCGCACATTCATTCTTAGACGTTACTATACCCATTTGGATATTAAAGTGAAAGCGAGTTAGGTAGGACCGTACTGTACTGCTATAGCTTACGCTTGTGCCTCACGTCATTTCGCATTGCGAAAGTGTAGAATCATACCTTAGTATAATATCGACGAGAGAAATACTGACTGAATAGTTTGTTGCCATGGTACAGTATTCCTTTCAATACAGTAATGGCTAAATAATACATTCAAGAATAGTTTACTAGGCCCTTTGCTCAACTTGTACATGATGACCGTTTGCGTCATTGAATTGTGATGATATTCCTAACCCAGTTTCACTTTGCTATTCTTCATCTTGAATGAAAGTAAATTGAACAATTCATTATCTAACTGGACTTTATTACTGTACTAACAGAATAGAATAGCAGATACACTCCTTTGCTGTGCAGCTCTCACTTTGGAGATTCAACTGTGAAATGCAATTTCTTCAAACACAAAACAGTAGTCTAACTATTCGCGTACAGTATTATCAGGATGGTATTGTACTTAAGATTGAGCTAACAAGATAATGGCAATGGATAGCTTTATTAGCATAATAGTTTAGTAATTTTAGTATAAAGTACATGATCATGCCAACTCCAATTTTTACATGTAAACCATATGCCGGTACAGCTACATCTTGTAATGCAAAGCTATCTATTCGCTTGATCTTGTCAGACAATTAGACTACAAATAGACTAGTAGTCCAATTCTCTCACCAATGGTGGAATTCACAAAATTGATAATTTTGAGGAAACTTTTAGCGCAGTATTGCATCAGCATTTTTAAACTAAATTTTATATAACTCTTAAATTTGGCATCAACGATCAAACACATACTTCTTGGTGCCTGCTTTAGAATAATTGCTTAATTTAAACGTACGGTATAGATTTATTATTCCCTTTGAAAGAAATTGACTATTCAAGATGCACAAATAAATGAAAGTTTACGAGTGCTTCAGATAAACCTTGTAAAGTTCAGAGATGGCCTCAGCTTAACGACGGGGTTTCGTTTAGCGATGTAGACGTGGAAACGTATAACTTGCTGCTGACTGTACTGTATGATTTTGCTTTTATTATAGTTACTGGACACTTTATTCTCCTTCTTGCGTCGCAAAACTGATTTCTTTACAGGAGGGGGTAAAGAAGCTGCCAGGAAGGTAACTCTTACAACGCATGACTTCGGTCTATCTGATACAACTGTGCATAACATGCCAAGTAATTTAAAATTGCATGTAAGCCACGATATTTATCGTAGTGATGAAGACATAATGCAGGTGTACTCTTTTTTGGATACATTCATTTATAGATGCTACTTGAAAAGTTTGACCATCATGAAAAGTTAAGTTTAAAGGTAAATCATCTGATATCTTCGAATAAGAATTAAATTAATTCAATATATGATAACCAAGTAATGTTCAACGCTTTCAGAAATAACACCTTCACGTTTCTACGCCCTGACTTTTAAAATATGAATATGCGCGATTTCTTTATGAATACATTGTATCATGCCATCGTTCTCAATAGATATTGCAATTTTCTGTCTTACCATGCAGGATTTAGAGACTAGACGACAAGAAGCTGAAGCGCGTGCTAGAAGGATTGCGAAACAGAAAGAAAAGAAGCAAAAAGAAGAAGAAAAGCAACGACAACAGGAACAAGAACAACCTAAATTTGTTGAATTGACGGACGAAGAAGCAAAAGAAGTTCAAGAAAAAATTGAAAAAGAAAAGAAAGAAGCTCCTAAAGTTGATCCTCCAGTGAGCGAATCTACTGCTGAGGTATGATGCAGTATATGGCTGTACTGGACGTGTACGATTTCGTACGTTAGCAGAGAATGCGTGTTTTTGAATTTGTGGTATTTAACGTTTAGACCAGTAAGCCTGATAATAAGGATGATAGTGAAGATGAAGATTCTAAAAACAAGCTCAAGCCTAACAGCGGCAATGGCGCAGATCTACCTAATTATAAATGGACACAGGTATACTCATACATACTACCTTAGAGTAACAATGAGCTTAATCAAATTTGCCTTACAACTAATGAATAGTAATCACGGTCTCGTCTGCTGTTCATTTCTGACTTTTAGACCCTCTCCGATGTTGAAGTATGAAACTAAGGATGAATATTATTATTTTTTATTGACAACCATAGTCTTAACTATTAAATTGATACTTGCTGTGAATCTGGCCCTCAACTGATATATTTATGACTTCCGATATTAGCTTAGAGTTCCCTTCAAAGTCTCTTTTCCTGTCAAAGGAAAAGATGTTATTTGCGAGATTAAACCCAATGTAAGTTTTTGAGCAAAGACTCCGCTGCTATAGTTTCTTCTAATGTTGTTTTATGTTCTTTGTTTTTTAATTTAATCACATGTGATTAAAGCATTTGAAAATTGGACTGAAAGGGCACGAACCAATAATAGATGGAGATCTTCATAAAACGGTAACTTTGTAAATCTGTTTTCAAATTCAGTTGAAGACCATATACCACATTGTACTGATGTGACAGTGTTTCTATTGCTTGAAACATTGTAGATTAAAATAGAAAACTGCTATTGGGTAATTGAAGATAAGAAAGCTGTAATGGTTACGATAGAAAAAGTAAACAAGATGGAATGGTGGCCTCGTTTAGTAACAACTGATCCGGAGATTAATACTAAGAAGGTTGAGCCAGAAAACTCCAAGGTCTGTAATAACACAGTTTGATTTATTAAATATATATTGTATATAATCTTGCATGAAATAAGAGTGCATCACTTCTATTCATAACTTTCAGTAGTATTCTTTGTTGCTTACTACTTACTGTATACAACTGCAATAAAATAATTGGTGTTATCTGTTGCTATAGTTATCAGATTTAGACGGCGAAACACGAAGTATGGTAGAAAAAATGATGTATGACCAACGACAGAAGGAGGTAAGATACGAAAATTCAACATCCACTATTATTTTACACGTAAACCTGGCGCTATTATAAATTTGATAGCTCGAAGCAACAATCACTTAAGATTATAATGGTGAATATTGCTTACGCATTAGTGTCGCTTACGAATGCAACTATAATTTATAGATGGGCTTACCAACATCCGAGGAGCAAAAAAAGCAAGATGTGTTGAAAAAGTAAGATATAATAACTGCCTTCTAAACTTCTTCACAAATACACGTACATGCTACCGTAAGTTATATTAGTTACCAAAATTTAGGCTGCATTGACTTATTCCTGTATCTATTTCTGATAGGTTTATGGCTCAACATCCAGAAATGGATTTTTCAAAGGCAAAGATCTCGTAATTGGATTTCTAAAGGCGACATTTCGGGCTCTTTGTGTAGTCTAGTACGCAATCTATTAACGATGTTTGTGAGCTTGGTACTATGATGACAAATTCCTTTCGCAACTAACTACTGTAGAAATTTTCCCTTAACTTGGAACTTAATTCACTTAATAAAATATATTCTATTATATTTAGAGGAGAGAATCATTGATTGTTGCGGTAAAATTTACATATATATATATATATATATATATATATATACTTGACATCTAAAAATTGCTCTTCATAACATCTTTCCAGGTCCCTATGCTTCCACCTACTTAATGCAGTATTGCATAATTGTTAAATATTCGAAAATGTATTGAAATTTTCTACTTTACGGCATTACGTAATTGGTTACAATTAAAGGGATTTTGAGTTCAACACAGAATGGCGCACAAAGTGAGTTTTCACGTACTTACATTCAGATCGATCGTAATAGCTGCGTATAGTATCATAATTTTTCATTACTGTATTACGAAAGAAATTAGACAATACGTAATCGCTAAAGGAATACCCATGGACTACTAAATTACATAGTACGTTAAAATTAAATATGTATGCACTACATTTAAAAATTGTGGCAATGTCCAAAGTTGCATAGTACTCAATATTCTGAAAGCTGTGAGTAGTATTCGAAATGGGTCCAAAATGCTATAAAATATTAAAAATGAACGTATTTTATACCGAATAAGGTCAATTCCGTATTCAAGTTTTACGTATAGTGCTCAAAAGCAGCCAAGGAAATTTTATTAACAAAAACATACTAGTGAACATCAGCTGGTATATGATGTAATTCACCGATGTAATTGATGATTAATATGATGTAATTCACTAGTAAAATTGACTGTATACGCGTATACTGTACAGTAAATTTGAAGTTTTATTAACATAACGCGATATCGTGCAGGATTGTACAATAAGTACAGCATTTTTAAAAAAAAAGTCAGCATGCAATATAACCGAAGTCATAAAAATTAGCAATATATCAAATATTGTCATCTCCATCGGACAACCATTTAAAATAAATGCTTAAATCTCTCATTTAAGTTCAATTTTTGTACGTTTTTATCGCTCCATGACGACCATTTGAGTAATTGTTTATCGTGATATTGGATAGGTATACTAGCGTAATACACAGCGCAGCGAAAAGCATATAATACACATCTACACATAGGAGCTGCTGCTTGAGCTCTTAATTTTGCGTACATCTGATCAGGATGATGCATCTTCAACTCTTCAATAGAGTTAATATCTAAATTATACATATCTTCAGCAAGACTCTTTCCAATCGAAGGTATAACAGTAAACTCTTTTATGACATCTTCTTTCTTGATATACTTAATGCCATTTCTCTTAGCTCGCTTGAAAGAAGACGTAAGATCATCATGATAATCACTCTCTGTTAATTCTTCCTTTATTACCATATTCGTATATTCATCTATATTGTTAAATTTTTTCCTTTTGCGCTGCATTTTACCAGTGTAAATTTAGAATAGGACGGTGAAGATCGAAACCACTTTCAGCTTGATGCACGTATTTATATTTTTGATACTGTACCTTTACTGCTTTCTTTTCTTTGACGAAACTTCCGCTGTCACTGTCAGCTACTGGAGGATGCGGGAAGATCCGAAAAGAATGTGTCGTTCTGCACAGTGCTACGGTGGCTCACAAGTACAGTGCAGTATGATGGAACGATTAGTCCTGAAGCGGGGAAGTACTGTACTGTACAAGTACAGACAGATTTTCGGATTTTCTCGCACTCTCCTGTATCAAATCAGACAAAGTAGAGTAGAGTACTTTATACTATACTGTACCGTACTGCGAATACTGTACTGGGGCCCTCACGGAAAATAATCGAAATAAGTTTCTTTCTTTATTTTTTTTTCCATTTTTTGACTGAACTTAACCTGAACAGTAGACCCTGATATATAGCGGCCGAGAAGGGCTAATACGTTACAGTAAAAATCTGCTCCACAGTGCACAAACCTCATCCACAGCGCGACGCTGCTCCACAGTGCAAAAACCTCCTCACACCGAGGGTTTACCATTATCATATTACACAATCACCTTCTGCTCATCATCGTACGCCTATTCCATCCAGTACCGTATTCCATTCAATAGTTATATTAAACAGTCATATGATATAACAATAGCAATCGTAAATTAACAGTCTATATTGCTAAATAATACTATTCTACACTTATAAAGTCTTTAATATACTCTAATACTGTATATTCTACGTAATATATGTAATAACAAAATAATACAATAATTAATATAATCTAAATAAATAACATTCAATCGTACTAGCTAACTCGTAAAATACTAAAAGTAATTTTATTTATTACAATACATAATTTTAAATTAAAAATAAATAAACGATTAAAGTAATACACACACACACGCTCATATACTAGCATTAAATATAATCTATCTACTCTATAAGTCTCTATAAATATATTTATATTTACGATTATACATCTTTCTCTATATACACCTTCACGTACTATAATATCTATTACATTATAACACGTAATATAACGCGTTTACTCTCTATTATAATACCCCTGTTATATTACACAATATCATTCCGTTAATCCATAATCACACAAGTATTCAAGCCATTAAATAGTTATATTAAACCGTTATATTAAACAGACATATTTAACACTCATATTAAATAACAATTGTAATCGTAAAATAAGAGTCTGCATAGCTACTAAAAATACTTTTTAGCACTTATACAACCCTAAATCTCATTCAGTATGTTCTAGGTAAAATATTTAAAATATAAATAATAATATAATGACGATAATCTTTATAAATAACATTTATTCGCACTATCTATCCGGTAAAATACGAAAAGTAATTGTATTCATTAAAATATATAATACTAAATTAATCATAAATAAAACAATCACAGTAATAAAACATACGCTCACATATCAGTATTAAATACAATCTACTCTACAATTCTACATAAAAACATTTATATATAAATACCCGTCGTACATGCATATAGTACATAATAGTGCTAGTAAGTACCATAAAATTGTATTATTGCAACGGACTGCCATGGATCGAATTATCGTGAAAAACTAAATGAATAAATTAAGGAATTTAACATTCTTATTTTGATTACAATTAATTAAAGAAGGAGTCATTGTGCTTATAATTCGGTACGGTAAATTATATGCTGTTCTGCAATAAAAAATCTTATATAGTAATTGATATTAATCGTTTAAGATACTACACCTTGCGATTCTATTTCTGATTGATAATTTAAAATTATTCAATTACTGCTTACAATGTAAATGATTCTGTAAATTGGTAAATATGTTATGGAGTACAGTAACTATTGCATAGCTGTTGTAATATACTTTGCATAAGGTAACATATCTAGGAATGTGTTGACATTAATTTATCTACGACATTATACACACTTTTAACGGATAACTGAATAGTTTTATAATATTATCTATAAACTAATAATTAATGTTTACGTAGATTTACTAAAATTGAACGATTTTTTAATAACGTTTGTATTCAATTTGTCTAAAGGAGACTAGGAGTGTAACTGTTCCTCTTGGCGATAGGAGATTACCAGTATTTAGAGTCGCACTGTTGGTAGATATCAGGGAGAACAAACCTGATACTAGGCATGCAGTTTGTAATTTCTAAAATAGTTATACTTTTTCATGTTACAAATTTCACTTTGCTACAATACAATATAGTCCAGTTATCTAAAATAGGTCAGTAGGTGACCATTGATATAAATATTGCTGCATTAATTTAGCTGTCTGATTCGAATAAAGTGTCACATTGTTAAGTTGATTCATCAAAGCTAGCTGTGCCGTAATGTACATAAACTCGGCAGATAGTGAATAAAATTGATTCTGTAGTCGTATAGCGTAAAAGCGAAGGCGTCTTAAAATCCTTGTGAAGAGTTTAGTGATTTTTTATCCGAAAATTTTCGAGATTCTTTTATGAAATGCTTGTCACGAAGATGTTTTGTGACACTGACATATTCTTCCATTCTGTAATACAAAATTAGTATTTAATGCTTTTCATTACAGTATTTGCAACATACTAACCTCTATGAGCTTTGTATATGTATCGTAGAGTATATCAAAGTTTAAAGTGTGAATAAGATAGCTTAATATTTAAATTTCCGAAGATACCTCTAGCAATTACAATATCCCAATAGCAAATTTCTTCTAATAGTATATTTATGTAATTAATATTTTATTCTTATATCTCTACTTATTCATTAAATAATGAATATATTTGTTAAGGGACGAAAGATCAACCACGATGTAGAATAGTTTTTATTATTGAAAGTTTATTGTAAACATACAAATATAATAAACCAACTACTTTCCTGTAAAAATATCTCTACTTTTCAATGAACTAACGTAAATGCATGTTAGAAGACGAGTAATCTAGCAGGATGACTTTCCCTAATTTATATTGTTGAAATCAAAAGCTTATAAAGTATTCCTTATTTTGTTTATTCGTAGTCTGCTCGCTCAGGTCAGGAGATGACTTGTACAGCACAATAATAACATCTTCAGCAGCGGCTAAAAGTGATTACATTTTAAATTGGCGATTCATCTTAACTTTAATCAATTGCTACTCAATAACCAAATTAACATTACAACACTTACGAGCATGGATATCTACGACTAATACTGAATCATATAGATAAGAGAAAAAGCTGTAAAATATGCACAGCTGCTTTTAAAAAGTAAAGAAAATTTTACACTAATTATAAATAAATTTTTCATCATTAACTTCATTTCAATAAATAAAAAAGAGAATTATTGGTAGGCAAAAATAGATTACATTACGCTTAGAAAGGATGGTAATAGAACTATCCAATTTACCTTTGCAAAATCTTCAAGTAAACCCGTAAACTTATAATTTTAATTTCACGATATACCAAGTTTCACTGGTCAATTACGATCGCTTGTTAAGACTACAATTTCATTTTCTTTGCAAGATCAAACAGCATATGCCAACAACTTTCAATGATCATAATTGCTAGTAAACCTCGTTTGCTACAATCCTGTTGACCAAGTTTTATTGTTTGCACATACTCTTCTTTATTTGAGTCACTATAAACATTATAGATAGGAATTTCGATAGGTGAGATAATCCCTAATATATAACTAGCTATCAATCTTGCTGTTCTACCGTTACCATCACTAAATGGATGTATCTTTAAAAAATTTAAGATAAACCATGCACAACACTTGAAAACGATTTCCATTTGCTTTTGCTTGTCATTCCTAATTTCATAAATGAAGACCAGCATGTAATTGTAATGATCACAAAGGTGACAAAGCCTATTTTCGATATGCTCGGGATCCTCATAGTCAATCTGTTCGTGGGCATATTTTGTAAACGCTTTAGCAGAGCGATATTTTCCCTCTTCCGAAGAACACCCACTCATCAAATCTTTCATTAATATTTCATGAACTTCGCAAATAAAACTTGGTGTTAAAGATCGCGGGACTATACTGGATGAAGCGTCTTTTAGAAACAATGTCGCTTCACCAATTTGATAGCTTATTTTTTTATCTTTATGTGCTGTAAAAGATGAATCTTTAGTCTTATCTATGAGAGATTTAACCATTTTGTCCACGATTTCAATAGTTTGTGTCCCTTCGTCTTCACCATTTGCCGTATATAAAATCATTTTCTGTAAAGTTTTGAATCTAAAATCTTTGATTAAATCATTTAATTTTGCTTTCGTATTATCGTGAGCTATTTCAGTAATCTGATTAAGCCAGTTTTTAATGTCGTTCAACATTTGCGATAATGTGGGCCAATTTTTCTTTTTACTCTGCCAAAACGGTTCCTGATTGTATAAATCGAATTCTAAATACGTTTCCGTATAATGCTTACATAGTTTTATATTCAATCCACTGCCAAAGTTATCTTGCAGCTCCTCGATCAGAGACATTTTTATTCCTTCGAAATTTTCGTTCACAGTTGGCCTATTTGCTTGAGTACAGTACGTCCAATGAGAGTCTGGTTGACGGTCGTATTGATACAGTACAGTACTGTAGTGTACAGTACTGTACAGTATGTCACTCCGACTCAGTACGGAGCCGTTTGAGCGGTACAGTACAGTACTGTACTGTACTGTACACTGTACAGTACACCCTCTACAAACCCAATTATCACCCCCTGTAAGTACTGTATGTACTGTAGCGAGTTTGGTTTGTACTGTGCACTACAGTGCACTCACCTGAGTACAGTACAGTATATTCATTGTAACACACAGTACACAGTACTGTACAGTACAAGATTTCATATTGAGTAGTCCACCACTGTACTAGACCTGTGTAAGGTTCAATAGGGTCGCCAACAGAGATTCGCGACACTAGAGTGTCAAAATCTCTTTCATCGCAACATACTGTACTGTTTGATGGACCTGTACTGAACGGTACTGTACCACTGTACCTCGGTGAACGTGCATACAGAACTGTCTTGCAATGGACTGGTACTGGACTGGTTCTGGACTGGATGTAACAGGCGGAAGGGACATCTGGACAAGATTAAACTCACCCTGTCGGTATAATATTTTGCATACGCCAACCTCTAAACCTTTATTTAATTGCAACAATACTCGATTGACGGAGTACTGAAAGAGCTGCAAATACGCGGTAGTGCATCAATATTATTATTAAGGCCGAACAAAAAAACATTTTAAGGAATTTTCTACCCTTGAAAGACTGATGTAATCATCACGATGGTTGATCAAAGTAAGTTTTGTCAAGTATCTATTGTTCATGAAAGTAGAAATGATTCGATCTGTAGCAGGAATATGGACATAAAATGGATGATTTGATCGTTTTTTGAAACGCTTTTTTGCGCCATGCTGTAATACGCATAGAGCAAGTACTGTAGTCAATTAGTGCTTTGCTATGTCGAGTGCTGGCTGCCCACTGACTTTTAAGGCAATCGTTTTAGGCTATGAATCAACAGCCGGAGGCTCGTCGTTAGGATAGAGTAAAAAGATAGTTGATACTGTAACGGACTGTGCATACACTGAGATTAAAACGAATACTACATTATGCTTAGCTATACGAGTAATCGTTTTGGGTTCTGTCGTGATACGTCCAGGACTTTCGACATTTCTTTGTTTAATACAACAGACGAACGACTTTTATGATTTTTGAGCTACTATTCAACATTCAAGATTTCGGGTCGGTTGGTAAATGATAAATTTGATCATATAAGTCTCGAAATTTGAAGATCAATTCGTGCGTGAAATAGATGAAATGATCAAGGCACTATTCGCTATCGTTTTCCAGTGCTATTGCTAGTGGGCAAATAAAAGTTGAATCTGCTGTATCGGTAGACCGTACAGTGTTTTGATCTTTCGAATTCATGACAGGCTATAGTTCAACCTTAAGCTAAAATGATGCCTTCTGCCCAGTTCAACGTGACTTACATTATAGTGTTCGGCTGTAGAATACGTTGCAGTAGTGGTTTCGATGGAATAGTGAGATTCATGGAGTGTAGCAATTTGGTCTAAAAGTACTGTATTGGATTATTTTACACTTTAGCCATGACTTAATATTCAATCCACTTTACAAATATGGAAACTATAAAATCTTCTCGGATAGCCATTTATGTATATTAATATCAAAATGCCTAGTTCTGTCTTGAAAATTTTCCAATCTTGTACCGTGTACGAAGAACAGTCAAGTTTTTAAGGTTGTGAATGGGCAATATTGTACTGTAGTACGCATACGCTAAGATGCCCCGACCAATACATAGTAAAATTATCAAAGCTGAAACTTGTAAAGACATTATCTTGTTGTCAGTACTAATGACTGTGGCTTCGTACTGAACTAACCGTAACTTTATCTTATTCTCTATACAAATTATGAAACTTTTGTCGCGGATTACCAAAATAAATAGCCAACGGCATAGCTGAAATAGCACATCGTGAATATCAGCAAGGAAACTATGAACGGGCTGAGCATTTAGCTATGGAGTGGTGGCGTCATGAGCAAGATAATGTTGGTGTCTTACTCCTTTTGTCATCAATTCATTTTCAAACTCGGAAATTAGACAAGTAAGTTCTGATATAATTGTGATAAAAAGGCATACAAAATGACAATAAAGTAAAGTTGAAGATAACTTGCCAATTGCTTCCCACAATCCAATATCACGTACTTCAATACTGAATTTTGATTCCCTTGCATATGTACAGTATAGTATATGCGACTTTTTTCGCACGTATATTTGAAGCAGCTCTTTAGTTTGAGAGCTTTACGTAGCAAAAGTTAGCTTTGCTTGCTTGAAAACGGACGGCACTTTAATTGAAGGAGTGCAACTTCCCGTGAGTTCATGACTTGGCATTTTCGACTGTACAGAATGTCCAGCACCCGTATGTCGGTACATGGACTATTAGAAAAGTCACCAGTAGCTCTTCTTGGTCCATGGTCAGTATTGACAGTACAGTATTACAGTAGACTACAGTATACAGTAGTACAGTACATTGCGCATGATCAGAGTCAGTAGACTTACTGTAGTATCGTACCGCACTGGAACCCGAGTGAACGACGCTTGAAGCATTATTCATAACATTGATGTACTGTACACTGAGTGTACAGTACATCCCACTGTATGTCATGGACAGATGGACCACTAGAAGAAGCCATGTACAGTACTTGCAAAATCTTCCATTCTCGGCGGTACTGTACTGTACTGTACAGTCAGTCATGATCACTTGTACAAGATCTTGGTACACTGCACACATACATACACTAGCGTTGTGTGCATCCTAGATGGGGTTATGTTTAGCTGCAAGGATAGACAACGTCTTGCGTGTCAGCATTTAAATACTAATGCCTAGCCTAGTTTAAGCTTGTCGTTTACTATTCATGGAAAGTGACATGAGAGGATCGCACAACTGTTATTGAGTTAATACAAGTTACCTGTAATGGCTCTTTTCTTTCATAAAATGACTAATTATTCCTGGATAAAGGTCTGCACATTTTTGTAACATGGCTATCAAGAGTAATCCTGCCCTATCAGAAGCGTATTCCAACTTAGGTAATGTATTTAAGGAAAGAAATCAACTTAAGGAAGCCTTGGAAAACTATCGATATGCCCTTCGCTTGAGACCAGACTTCATTGATGGATATATCAATTTGGCGTCTGCATTAGTTGCTGCACAAGATTTAGAAGGAGCTGTTAAGGCTTATGCTACTGCGTTACAATATAACCCGGTAAGATGGAGTCATAATATTGTGCGCTTAATATGAGTGCAGTATTGCATAGAAATCTTATATCTTATTCAGGTTACTTGATAGTTCTATTTCTGCTTTTTGTTGCAGAATTTATATTGTGTTCGCAACGATTTAGGAAATTTGTTAAAGGCTTTAGGCCGTCTAGAGGAAGCTAAGGTAATGCAATATGGTAACAAATTTAGAAACTGTTCACACAACTTCAATGTATTCCCTGGAACATAATGCCGTATCTACTATACTTTATATTTGCAATTTATTATCATCTGTGTAGTTAGTACCGTAAATATCAACAGCTATAACATGGACTATTAAAATTGATGAGAGTTTTTAGTAGTCCATGCCGAGACACTCTACCAAAAACTCACTTTATCGTGTATTCTGAGTATACTGTATGTTATACTTTATTAGTCCTTTCACCATGTTTTTGATTTAGACTTGTAGTATAGACGATTTGGCATTCGTGGTAGTCTTATCATCCTTTCCAAGTAGGAGCAATATTTGCACTTCCTTTAATATATAGTTTTAACCATCAATTGATTTTATCTACCGTTTTCTGTACTTTAACCTTTGATATTATTATGCTAAAGATAGGTAATGCTGATAAAAGCTCATTTTGTAAAATTTGTAACTTGGATTGTTTAAAACCTTAATAATATTCGTAATAATATTGACACTGGCGTGGTTTTTAATACGGCATCATTCGTCATACGTATACCCACATCTCTCATCATTGAACGACTCCTTGAAGCTGTCATTTGCACATAGCTAGGCAAGTTCTGCTTTAATGTATAGCAAAGAATCAAGTAGTTCTAGTTCCTGACTTGGAGACCTCGAAGGTAACAGATGTGCGGCCATGCTCACTGAGCTAAAATGTTATGGTTTGATCGAGCCTAGCATTATAGTGGGGTTATCGAAGAAAGGAAATTTTGAAGCTATGAAGGAACAGTTTGGTTTCGTTAAGAATTTTCCAGCGTCAATACACGCCACAGTTTGAAGTCATTAATGTTGAATATACTTTCGAAAAAATTGTAGAACAGTAAAGCATGGAAGTAGCTTATGCCTTCCAGATTAAAAGAAGAGAATGCTGCTAATAGTATATTCAAGCAGAGAAACTTGAAATTTGATTGAAATGCACTACTGTAGGCGACGAAATGTTTCGAATTACTTGCTTACTATACTCTGGTCAATATCTAGTTTGCAATACCTTGTACACGTTATTGGCTGCGACAGTGCCCATATCTGTCAGTGTTCGATGTTATTCATTTCTGGACGTAGTAGTTACGTAACATTTGCAACCTTTGGATATTGCAAATCGCTGTATCTGCAAATACCACGCATCTTGAAGGGCATCGGGTTTGTTATTACTGAAATGAGAACGTGTAGTGTATAGCGAATTACAAATTCAATATACTAGTCAAAGGTGAAGAGTTAGGTAGCATTATAAATTTAAGAAACGGCTTAGTAAAGAGGCGAAATAATGGATAAACTTGATAACCTAAGGGCTACTTGATTTGATTTCCCACTCTCCAGACGATATTGATCTATTACTGACTTTTAAATTTTAATCAGTATTTTTGCTTATAGTAGATATTAAGCTAAACCGGTGAGTTGTACGTATATTTCTAGGCTAAATTTATTAATTGATTCATGAGCATTTCTTACGTCTAGTTTGTAACAAGATATAGTTCTATCTGTTAAATGTCATGTATTAAATAGTTTACATATTTTATTACAAATTGTTTGTCTTTCAAAATGCGATTGTTGTAACGTGTTCATGCTCTCTCCTTACCTCATTATATATCTCCTTTTCTCTTTTCTCTTCTCTTTCTCTCTCTATCTCTATCCTTCTATTATCTCCTTCTTTTATATATCTCTCTCTCGCTCTCTCTGTCCTCTCTCTCTCTCTTTTTATTATGTATTTTACGTTAGGCATGTTACCTAAAGGCTATTGAAACCCAACCCAATTTTGCTGTCGCATGGAGTAATCTTGGGTGTGTTTTTAATAGTCAAGGCGAAATCTGGCTTGCTATTCATCATTTTGAAAAGGTAAATTCTTACTTCTAGTTAACACTTTATGCCTGCATTTATCACTTGTTTTAACATAATATCTGTTGATAATGTAGGCTGTCACGCTAGACAACGGCTTTCTCGATGCATACATTAATCTTGGGAATGTACTTAAAGAAGCGAGAATATTTGATAGGTACTATTGTAAAGAATTCACTAATTACATTTTAATCATTGACTTATCGTTTTGATTTGAATGTCTTACAGGGCCAGTACTGCCTATTTAAGAGCTTTAAATTTAAGCCCTAATAATCCAACTGTTTTAGGAAACTTAGCTTGCGTTTATTATGAGCAAGGGTATGTTTATGTGCTGTTACAGTCTGGTATGGTCTATATTAAGCTTGTCAATAGTCAATTAATTGTATGTTTTTGCTTTCAGTCTTATGGATCTAGCAGTAGATACTTATAAACGTGCTATTGAACTGCAACCAAATTTTCCGGATGCGTACTGTAATCTAGCGAATGCCTTAAAGGAATTAGGGAAAGTAACTGAAGCTGAAGAGTGCTATAATACTGCGTTATCTCTTTGTCCAACTCACGCGGATTCGCTAAATAACTTGGCTAATATTAAAAGAGAGAAAGGACAGATAGGAGAAGCTTCAAAATTGTATAGGAAAGCGTTAGAGGTATGCGGACGTCGAGATGTAATATTTTCATGACAAAGTCTAATTTTATTTTAATTATATTACTATATAGTATGAAGCTGGCGTTTTAATGTCATGGTATAAATGTGTATTTAAATATAGATATTTCCGGAATTTGCCGCTGCACATTCAAATTTAGCTAGTGTCCTTCAGCAGCAAGGAAAGCTACAAGAAGCTCTAGCTCATTATAAAGAAGCGATAAGGTTAATTAAATAATTTCATGCTTTTGATTCCGATAATAATCGATATAGTTGATATTAATACATTTTAAATTTTTTAATAGAATCAATCCATCCTTCGCTGATGCGTATTCAAATATGGGAAACACGCTAAAGGAAATGCAAGACGTTCAGGGTGCTATCCAGTGCTATACAAGAGCCATTCAAATTAATCCTAACTTTGCAGACGCTCATAGCAATTTGGCTTCCATTCATAAGGTTTGATCTAAATTTATGGACTTTGCAAGGATTTTTTACTTTTTACTTTATCCTGTTAATTCTACTTTTAAAACGGAATTTTAATTACATTTGGGATCATCATAATACTCTTGCTTGTCAAGCGATGTATGGATATTTCGTAATACCTTGTACTATAAATTAAATTTGGAATAGGATTCTGGTAGCATTCCAGAAGCTATAGCCAACTATCGAACTGCTCTCAAATTGAAGCCTGACTTTCCTGATGCTTTTTGCAATCTTGCGCATTGCTATCAGGTTAATCAACATTTTGCTGTCTTCATTTTAATTTTAAGCTAATTTTTTATGTCCTATAAATTAAAACTAATATACGGATAAATTTCACTAGATTATTTGCGATTGGGCCGACTATGAATTACGGATGAAGCGCCTAGTTTCCATTGTACAGGACCAACTGGAAAAAGGTAGATTGCCTTCGGTTCATCCTCACCATACCATGTTATATCCTCTTGATGGACATACCAGGAAGGCAATAAGCAATCGCCATGGAAATCTTTGTTTAGATAGGGTACGCAAATATGGATTTATAGTGATGCCGTTAACTTTGTCAAAGCATACATTGATAAAACGTTTTCAATTTCAGACCGCAACTATACATAAGCCTCCATACAAGTTCACACCTAATATAATTCTGCCAAATGGGAAGCTTAAAATCGGATATGTTTCGTCTGATTTTGGCAATCATCCAACTTCTCATTTAATGCAGAGCATCCCAAAACTACATGACCGTAGTCGTGTTGAAGTATGTTTAACAGATCTGAATTTAATACTGTAAAAGATACCGGATTCATACTTTATTATATACGGTACAATATTTTGGTAGATTTTTATATAATTTATCCATGACTATTATAATAGGTCTATTGTTATAGTCTCACAGCCGATGATGGTACGTCATTTAGAAAAGAAATTTCGCGTGGCTCCGATCATTTCGTGGATCTTTCACAGGTAATATTCTCTGACCCTGTAGATAGTTGTAAAAGTTGTAATATTTTTATTGGGATGTACTTATATCGTAGGTTCAATGTCACGGAGATGCTGCTGACCGAATTAATGCAGATGGCATACATATATTGTTAAATATGAATGGTTATACAAAAGGCGCTAGAAACGAAATATTTGCTCTTCGCCCAGCCCCTATTCAAGTAACGTATCGTTTTATAGTAGAATTATTAAGCTTAATAATGATTTACAATTGATACATATTCTTAATCCTCGATACAGATGATGTGGCTAGGATATCCAGGCACAAGCGGTGCTGCATTTATGGATTATATTATTACCGACAAGATCACATCACCAATGGAATACGCAGATCATTACTCGGAAAAGTTAGCGTTCTTACCAAATTCATTTTTTATAGGAGATCACCGCCATATGTTTGCTCATTTGTCAGTACGTGCCACAGATAACGGGAGGGATAGAGTTATAAATCTTTCAGAGGGTTCTGCACCTGACTTAGACATGAAGGATATCATTGAGGCTCAATTAAGAGAAGCTTTAAGTAAAATTGACAATACTTCCAGCCATATTAATACTAGTACTAATTTAATTTCTAACGGAACATTGGGAAGTAACGCTGTGATTCCAAATGGTGGTCCAATTATCAATGGCAACGGCGACTCTGTACCTAATGGACCCGGCGTCAATGTTCCTTCTGGAATGGTATTAACGACTAGGGCACAATATGGTTTACCATCGAAAGCAATTATTTACTGTAATTTCAATCAACTGTATAAAATAGATCCCAAAATCCTTGAAACATGGGTGCGTATATTAAAGCGAGTGCCTAATAGCATTTTATGGTTACTACGATTTCCTGCTGCTGGAGAAGCTATGCTAAAGAATACCATCTTAAAGATGGGCCTGCCTGCGGACAGAGTTGTTTTTACAAATGTTGCACCCAAAGAGGAACACGTGCGACGAGGACAGCTTGCAGATATCTGCTTAGATACTCCAATGTGCAATGGACACACTACTGGCATGGATGTTTTGTGGGCTGGAGTGCCTATGATAACTATGCCAAAAGAAACTCTCGCCTCACGTGTAGCGTCATCTCAGTTAACCTCTCTAGGCGTTTCAGAACTAATCGCAAAGGATTTAACTGAATACGAAGACGTTGCGGTTAAATATGGCTCTGATATTACGAGGTTGGTTTTCAAAGAGACCAAAATATTGCTATTCAATAATGCAATTGCATCTTAAAGTAATATTAACATATTCTGCTTACTCTAATTGTAGGTTAAGAAAGTTACAAGATAAAATTTGGCAACTCCGTCATAAGAGCACGTTATTTAATACCAAGACATACTGTCAAAATTTAGAGGAGCTGTATGTTAAAGTCTGGGATCGTTATTCCCAAGGTCTTGAACCTGACCATATTATATATTAGTAATCATCAATCCGCTGCAAAATGTCGATATGAAGATGTGAATTCCTCTGAAATGTTATATTAATTGCTAATGATGTATTTCTTTATTTCCTATTTAGCTGTTAATCACATTTTGTTATAAATACTATACATATGTATTATGCGTTACTTACTGAACGAAGCTGTATCCATATAGGTAAAATTGATCAATAACTGTAGTTGACATTACTTTAACATGTTTTCTTAAATGCTTACTGTGAATTGCTGCTGCTACTGAACAACAACTTTGACATATTTGGTAGTAATGGTAAGTTTTCGATGCTTTAATTTTTCCTTGCTTTTTTTCGCCGTCTTCAAGATCATGCTATAGCAATATACTAAGGGTACAACACGAAAAAATTTATTGCTGTAGTGGTAAGATTGAGTGAAAAACTTCTTTGCACGTCATAGTAAGTACGGTCTTATGTTATACATATTTTGTTTTATTACATTAATGAATGCTATAGCACGAAGATTATACATACAAATGTTAGTTATACCTATATGCAAATTGCAGTAAGATTTCAATTATTCACTAATATGTGTTGCACTTATTGTGTATTATAATGTAATAGAAGCTAACATGCATTGCATAGCAACATGATTTTAATCTTTATTTGATACTATAGTAGTCTGAGCATATTTTAAAGGTTTATTATTCCAGTGTGCTTAGTTTTACAGTACAGTGTCAAGAGCGTAGTATTCGATAAATTGTGTATCCACACTTTTAAATAGCCGTTGATGAGGGATGATAGCATTTGTCCTTCAACGGTTCTTGAGCAGCAATTGATCGTTGCTCGGTTGAGACGTTCAAGCTATTGGATTGGTATTGATAAGCGTCTGGTTACTGAATATTCAGTACCTAACTTACTATTGGCAAGCTCTACGATTGCTGATGATCTAAATTACCTTGTTATACTGTTCGACAGTAAATTCTTTATCACTGGTTATATGAGGAGGATCGTTTTGACTGCTTTAAGTATACGCGTAGTTGTCTATAAGATGAGATTTATTAAAAAATATGAGTTAAGACTTTTCTTCACCTTACTTATCCAAGATTAGCCAGGATGTATCAGTTATTTATCGTCTTAGATCGTAAGGATTTGCATTGCAAACGTTTAATCTGCAAGCATGTTAAGGCAGTAATGTACGTATTTAATTTTAATTAGCGCTGCACTTACAAGTTTGTGCCTACGGAATGAAGTTTTCAGTTTACAAGAAATTGTTGCAAGGCAATAGATTAATCAGTTTAATTCTGATAGGATGCTTGATAGAGTTTTAGTTCGTAGTTAGGGAAGATGAATCATACGTAGATTATTAGGACGATGTCAAAAACTCTTGTAATACATAAAATAAAAAGTAACCAATAACCTAGCGCTTGAAATGAAAAACTAGGGATAAGTTTAAATTTAACCGATTTCAGAATTTGTGCCTCGAAAATTCATTTCCGTTATGGCATTTAGTAATATGCGAGAATAAGGAACTGAAACCTGAAACTAAGCTACAAAGTTAACATGATAAGAATTTTGTGTGCTTATCTCATTTTGTGATAACACGCACAGACGTATACTAATGCGGTATGCATATTTTCAATCGAAGAGGGCTAGCAGTAAATTCGATACAACTCTGCAGTGGTCAAGACTTATAAAATTGCTTGCATCTTTCATTAAAAATTACAGTACTGTACTTACAGCAAGTGATAAGATATATACAATCTTCCATGAATCCTAGCGACAATATCTAGACTCTACAGTATAATTATAGTAATAATCATTAAGGGAATCGTATCTCATCCATTATGGATTAGGGAAAATTGTACGAGAGCAGCGTAACTAATTATTAACCGGTTAACTAAGAAGAAGTAGCATAATTTTGCTGTCGAAATATTGTTAGTTCTGATAACTTATGTACAAAAATGCCATATACCGTGTAAAAGTGTCACGACCTCGTCCTCGTCGGTGTCAGCCTCTCAATTACGAAATTACTGTAGACAAACTAAAATTATTTACCGATGATCAATTTATAACTATCGAATAAAATTAAATAAATCAGATCACCCATTACAGCCGCTTCTCCCTTCCGAAATGGCAGACGGGCAATCAACGACAGCAGAAGAATAAGGGAAGAAGGATGACGAGAAAGGTGCAGCTACTCAAGGAAACACTACCGAGAACGGAGCTCCTTACGGCAGGATAAAATCATGCTCGGAAATGAGCGGAACACAAGTGGACAAGAGCTCCCAGAGAAATAAAAGGCGAAGGCTCCAAGGGGGAAAATAGATTTATTGTAATATGTTAATGGTAGTAAAGTCGACTACGCAGAATGGCATAAGAAATAATTGGACATCGCATAAGGTTAACGAAATAGATCATCGATTCCTATTGTATACGGTAGCTGGTAGGTTGTCTTGGGTATCGTACTGTCCAAGTTAGTTCGACTGAGAACCGCGTCACGAAGGGATAAATAGACTCGTGTGTCAGCACCAGGGGCAGTTCTTGTAGAATCATAACGTTGTTAGTAATCGCGTTTTGTAGAAATTGAAATTACTAAGTTACGTCGGAAATAAGGACACGTGCATAAAAATTAATTTTAAAGTTTTAAGATTTGCGCATTGTGTTGCTGGGAGTAACAGCTGAGGTTAGTAAGGAGTCTGAGTCACAGAGAGTAAGAGGAGTATAACAAGAATAGTTCTTCTTTCTCGATTCTCGACATGACTCTCTTTAAAATAATAGACTAGTCAGACTAACTTTCCATGTCATCCAATATATCTGATAGCTTAAAAAATTTCATCATTCTATCCTGCCAAGTGGTTTCCTTTCGTATAATTGAACTATAAAAGCTCTTCAGCAGTAATCTGACACTCTATTACCTCAAATACACCGTTAAAATCATTTTATTAACTATCAACTACAGTCATACGCATATTTATTCTTTGAAATGATGAAATCATGTCTAGCAATAATAGGAATATCATATGTGTAAAGAAATACTAATCAGTGCATCAAATTCAATTGATAGACATCATTGTCTATGGTTAGTACACAACTTCAAATCGACCTACTACATACAGCTCAATTCTGTTAATTTATAGCTATTGCAATGCTAGATCAGGTATCTCGATGGCATTAGCAATGTAAAGCAGTTATCAACAAAGATGATTCCTAAATTTGCTTATCTACAGTGATGGTAGTCTTAGCTTGGTAGTTATTATAATTAAAGGATGCAAACGAAAGTAAAGTACAAATACGCGAACTTTAATTTTCGTTTCATCTCAACTTTCAACATCGCTATCTTTGCCGGTTCGCCTACATTTTGTAAAGATTCTACTCAGAGACTTTACTGATTGTTCCATCGATACTACCAGGGTTATAACTAGTCCTTAAGCATTGATGCTATCCCAAAGATAGACATGAAAGAAATTCGAAATTAATAACGCAACCAACGCACTGTCCTACAGTAAGCAATAATTTACGATATAACTTTTATTTAATTTATAGACAACATTCACGTCAATTAGTAACAATGAGATCGAGCAAATTCATTATTATTCGTTATCTCATTATCATTAATGCGAGTATATATAATCGATACAAATATTTCTATAAAGAATCAAAATTTTGCAATATCGAGAAACTTGTATTCAATTAATATCTTGTAAGATCGTATATAAACACTTATCCTCTATAATATTTACATCGTATATCACGCATGTGGCAGAAGTTTAATCATTCCATTCCATTGTTCAGTCATACAAATTGTACGACGATTAAGTTACATTCATGTTATCATATTCCATCATCTCATTGCGTAAAACTGCCAAAGGAAATTGTCAAATTATGCAGTAGTTCAATATAGTATCATAATTAGTAAGTATAAAAATAACCGAATAAATACGTCTTTTATTTAATTATATTCATTATAATGAAAACGAATTGTAATATTGTAACAGTGTGTTCTATATTTGTCACGGTACTGCGTTACAAACTAAATGTAAGTCATTATTGATTAGTAAATAATTCACTGCCATCAAAAATTTGGCAACATAGTTTGATGTAAGCTCTAACAATTGAATTGTATCTAGACGGAGGTTGAACACTTTAACACTCGATAGCCTGCAGCTGGCTAGGTCTCACAATATCTACCTATTTAGTTAGTAATTGTATATACTGATTTACGTAATTTGTAAAATCACGATTTTACTCTATTGTAGGCTACACTAAAATTCACCGCACAAATCTGTTTAAAAGCACGTGTGGTTATAAAATAGTGTAATCGCTTAAGAAGCATACAGGAGTCGTCTTTTTAACGAAAGTATACCAATGAATCAGTTGTGTGTGGAATTTAGCCGAGAAAGCGAGTTCTCAGAGTGTATATCGCTGGCATGCAGACTAAAAATACTGGGAGAAGTAGACTGAGTTATTGTAACTGCACTACAGTTCCTTGCGAATCTTAGCAACAAGTGTGAATTGCCACAATAGTATACGAATGAATACCGTACAGTACAAGCAATCATCATGCCTCAAATTAATATACTGTATACCATGCAATCTAATCTACAAGCATATACAAGTGAAAAATTGATATTGTATGTTACCTAACTACACTAAGAAAAAATATATAATCGTCTGATTTATACTACTGTACACTAATTACGGCGCAGTATAATAGTTTATGAAATCTTTTATTATTCTAAAACGAAATATCTTCACATACCGACTAAATTATTGGTATAAAATAAGTAATAATATGCGTAATCCGTCATCATACATGTACGAATATTCGATTCAGCAATCCTAATAACCGAAAAATAATGGTCATTAAGAGCAGATGAAGAAATAATGGTCATTAAGAGCAAATAAGGAAATAAAGCATGGTTAATCCATCATCACACCAGTATTCCGTCCAGTATTCCGTCCAACAGTCATATGAAATACCATTGGTAATCGTAATATAATAATATGTAATGTACACTACAGTACTGTATACGCGCGTTGAAAAATATTATTGTAAACTTCTACAGTCCAAAAAAAACTCTTCTTTAGTACAGTATTCTCTATGATACACTGTACAGTACAGTACACACAGTACAGTACTGAAAAGAGTGTACTGTAGTGTCCGTACGGTGCAGCCGTCCTCTACACAATCCTATTGTTGATTGTTTACTGCTTTACTGTACTGTACTGTACCGTACTGTACAGTGTACAGTACTGCACACTGTAGTGTAAATAAGCACCGTTGTGCTAGTCAGTATCCAGGGACTACTCCACTTCTTTTTTCATCCTTTTCATACCATCTGTAAATACTTCCTATTCACAGTAGTCGACAGCAACCAATTGACTGTTTTGCAACATCAGGATTATCCTAGCATAAACGAACTATCCGTCATGGATATTAATATGTTCCCATACAAAAGTGGATACTGCCGCATTGGGACGGACGTACACTCGTACAGTACAGTAGGTATGAATTGGAGATACTGTACATTGTACTGTACACTGTACACTACAGTGCTGCAAAACGAGTGCTTGATAGAACTGCGCATGAGTATCAGCGTCAGGAATACCATGTTCCCGTCCAAAAGTGGATACTGCCGCATTGGGACGGACGTACACTCGTACAGTAGAGTACTGTACGTTTTCTCCACAGTTTCGACTCCAGTGCACAGTACTGTACGTACAGTGTACAGTAGGTATGAATTGGAGATACTGTACAGTACAGTACAGTACAGTACGCTACAGTGCTGCAAAACGAGTGATAGAACTGCGCATGAGTACCAGCGTCAGCCAGCAGCAACGTAGACAGTGGAGTACAGTACTGTCTAGTATCGTATTTCCAACACTAGGTAGTCATGACTAAGAGGATTTGGCCGAGGCTCGCAGCTGTTCTTGCAGACTAGCGATTAATCCTCGACGGTTGGCAATACAAGAACAGTTGATCAAAGCGTTTCTGCGATCGCTACTCATCAAGCAATTACTCTACATCAAATTCAAGTTGAGAAGGCAATCAGGACAGAGATGCTGGAATTTCTAGAAGGAAACACATCTGTGAATGCTGTATTGATAGTGGCTATTTTATTTTTAGTGTATAAGTTATTTTTCAGCGCTTCTGGAAAATCCGAGATGCCAGAAGAAAAGGAAGAAGAGTTACCACCAATGGAACCACGCGATTTTACCTTAACTGAACTAAGCCAATATGATGGTATCAAAGATAAACGCGTTTTGATGGCTATCAATAGTAAAGTTTTCGATGTTTCTCGCCGTCGGAGTGTGTATGGTCCAGGTAACTTGAATTTCTAGACTATGCAGTGCTGTGCGATCATCAAAACCATGACACGATAAACTGTTAGACCATCTACACTACAGTATTGACAACTAGATACACCAATCCTTTCATTAAACCAACCATGAGTAATAAATACAGTAGTATACTGTAGGCTTGTACAGGAAGAAAGTGATCAACTACCAATTACGAATGAGCAACGATGATCGATTCAACTTTCTACTCTAAAAAACAAGAAATTCTGATCACAAATGATCATACAAAGAGGTAGCGCATAGCACATACGCTATACCCAGTGTTTTTGTCTTGAATAAACTGCGAGATGATCGCTAGAAGGAAGAAACTCCATTTCGCCTCTACAGTACTGTAGTCTTACTACCGAGATAGGATACTCTATTCTCATCACATCATCTTATAGCTTGAAACTTTTTACAACAGATGAAAACATTAGCTAACAACGATTCTATGATTACAACGCTTGACGTACTGTTTCACGCAATCCTATCGTCATAATTTCATATCACTGGTAACAGGGAGTAGTTTCCTGCAATAGTTTCACTGAATGAGTGTATTATAGTCATTATCGCAAGCTTAAAATATTACCTTTTCCATATGAAAGATTCCATGCAACAGTACTTACTGGCTCAATAAGGTGCAAGCTATCAATAGCAAAGAGTTGAAAAATTGCTTTCTATCAATGACACCATAAGATCGAACAGATTTAGTATACAGTAGTGCATGTCTATATTACGCTCTACGAAGATGTGCCACCTATCGATGAGAACATTTCTGGATCTTGTACGCACATTACAGTTGTCGCAATATGAGTGCAGCCAAATCCGTACTTGCAGTTGTAGCTGACACTGTATCTGCCACAGTAGTACAGTGTTTCCTCTTGGCTGTAAAATAATATACGTAGATGAATGCATCAACATATTGCTGTAGATAAATTCTTCAGTATACCTTGATATTCATTCAGAAATTGTTATTAATCATACTGAATTACTCGTAAGACGCATCGCTTACTGCAATAAGAATAGGTAACCCTCGGCCATGCCTACCTTCTCCTTAAAGCTTACATTGATTGCTTACCTTGAACATCATCAGTATTCCATGATCTCTCGTTGAACTGATAAATTGATATACTACTGTACAAGTGTTTATATCACCAGTGTACAGCACATTCTGATCAATCGCTATTTACTCTACCCTTTATCATTCTTGCTCATTAATTGTAATTATCAAAGAATGTATATTGCATTACCGTATTTTCATCTCCATAGCACCGTATACTGTATACAGTCTGTAATGTCTATTCGGTGCTATGAAGATGAAAATAGAAAAGCTTATGCCTAACAGTGAAATAGTGTACATTGATGGTCATACGATGTACGACATATTTACATACGCTGCTATCCTCGAAGATGTTCAAAAAAGTTGAATCAGTAGTTCCATTTAAGAGATGTCATTTCAATATGTTGAACACTGTCAATTTGTCAAATGTATTTCGTGAAATCGCTTATATCTCGAGAAGTGTAATAATGTTAAGCAGACTGTAATTAAGAATTCATTATACACTGATGTATTCCAGGTGGACCGTATCAGGTTTTTGCTGGACATGACGCTAGCAGAGGCTTAGCAACGTTTTCACTGGAGAAAGATGCTGTAAAAGATGAAATCGACGATTTATCAGACTTGAATAGCATGCAAATGGATTCGTTGCGTGAATGGGAAATGCAGTTTTTAGATAGATATCCTGTCGTTGGCAAACTATTGACACCAGAAGAAGCGGCTCAGAGAGAAGAAGAGCTCAAAGAAAAACAACCAGAAGACGCAAAGAATGATCAAGATAGTAAAAAAGAGAAATAGTACTATGCCTAACTATCCTATTTGTAGTATAGCTATCTATGCCAATTAGACGTAGCAAACCATTACAAAGTACAAGTGAATACGAAGTATCCTTGTATGGTTTGATACGGTTACCTTGATTTTAGTAAGTAGGTGCCTATCAGGCGAGTGGTAGCAAGCGTACTGACTTTCATCGGAAGCTTCATGTACTCATTTTATAGTATGAAATGCAAGAAAGAAAGAGTGACGGATTCTAATCCATTAGTAGAGCCTACTAAGACTTTTAAAAATTAATCACTACATTGTTTTCTGTAATTGTTTTTATTAATTCTACTCTGCTGCACCCCATCTTTACAAGATGTAATGTACAGTAGTTGTATTACAATAATGTAGGAGCTTTCTATTTCGGTGACTTTCCATTACGATATTTTGCCCCCCAAATTTTACTATATTAAAAACCTAATATGAACTGTGATTGAAATAACATACGTTAAATAGTCAAAATAATAGATACCTGTTTATTTATTAAGTCATTAAGTAATTGATGGTTGTTTAAGGGTTCGGAAAATCATTTACCTTGTTTCTTTGTAGCAATTTATCAAAAGTAAATTGTTTCCGATTTACGGATACGAATTTGGGTCAAATCTTGAGAGATTTGAGGCTTACAAGAAGCTATATTTACTTTGCTTTGTCTAAAAGATAGTCTTGTACCATAATACTCGTATGTGGTGTAAACTGCACAGTTTAAGTCTGGTCGCGATATAATTTACTGTTAGTTCCCTCGGCTTCCATATCTTGTACTCTGTGTCAATTCCATACTGTAAATAATTTACGTGCATAGACGCGCAAATGCCGTATATACAGTTATTACTTTTTTCCGTTGATCTATATTACATCCTATATAAAATTCGTTCACACTTCAAAAGGAAAATTTACAGCAGGCCTTGCGTAGCTAAGACATATTTCAAAGTCATAGTCTTGATTGAATCTACAAGAAGTTTATTGCATTGATACATTCATACAATTGTATTTTAAGAAAGTTTTCAGTAGTACACGTACGAGACATTATGTTACTGATACATTTTAATTTCGTCAGTGTTTAAAATAATTAGTTAAGGCCTCTTGTGTATGAATTTCAATTCGATCCTATATGTAGAACGAATTTAAAAATTTTAGTCCACTGCCTTGTAATGCCACGCCCGTATGATTCTGTGATTTGAGATTGTGGATTTCATCAATCGTATATGGAATAACTCTTGCCAATAAATTTGCAATCATTGTTTCTTGAATCGTAATTCATTTTCGATATCAATCCAACATGGATTGATAATTATATCCAGTTTTGCAAGTTAAACCTGCCTTCAAATAATTACAAAACATCGTGCATGTTGTCGACAATTAATGGACCTTTTGAAATTTTTGTATACTTTCGTACTTTCAATATTATTCGAACTTCTAACTATGCTTATTTCTAAAAATTGGCTACAGATGCCGTAAACATACGAGTGCTTGTTATTGACGTACATCAAAGTGCGAAAAAATAAATTATCCAAGGCATAGTAGCCTTAAATAACTAAAGATTTAATAATTAATGACACTGATTGAAAAAGCAGATATGAAGGTTTGATTGGACTAAAACTATGCGTAATCAACGTGGTTTATATGTAGTGCTATTCTTGAAAAGTTTCGTCTACCTTCTACCTTTATTGCCAGAAATGTCGAAATTTATCTATTTCAGCATCTATAACTTTTGCAAGATTGTATTCGCTTCATTAACTTAAAGATTTCTCTTGACGTAATATCTATGAGTTTTACGAATGACTGCAATCGATAATTACATATGGAATTGAAATCAGTAGAGACTTAAGGCGTGATTATTGAGGGAAAGTAGGAAATGGCTTAGCAAAAGATGTAACATAGGAAGGTCACTTTAAAGGCTAACTTTGGCAAGAGAATCATTTGGGCATCATTTGTACTCCTTTACGTACAGAAGCCGCGTACTCCATATAGCTAACGGAATGAAAGCTTTTCTGATTAGCGAGATTGAACGAGTCATACGTATACACATGCAAAGAAATTTTGCTAACGAAAACTTATCGAGATGTTTATTAGCATAAAAGCACTTCTCACGTACAATGCTTGGGTAGGTTTTGACTGTAATTGAAATATTCGTCATTAAAAGTGAATAACAGATTATATGACATTATAATGAATTTAGAAAGTTGTGTCTACAAAATACTCGTATATACAACATGCATTCGCTGCGTGGAAAATATTTATAGAGATAATAATGCATAGTGTATAATACATTATAGAAATAATATTCACGTTTTGGAAATCCTTTACGAAAGAAATATTTAAAACAGCTTTCAAGCTTACAATCCAAAAATTGACATCTACAGACTGTAACTTTAAAATTTTTTCATCAAGTCCATCCTACTTGAGATAGTCACTGTTTCAATAGCAAGATTTCTGCAGAAACACTACAGTTTGTTACTTCTTTACAATGGCAGATCTTAGCAAAGATCCATCTATTTGCCTGCATAATAATTCACGCTTTAATGCCCTTTTTCTACTTTCCTGCTTTTTAATTTTGTTAATTAGTCGTCGTCGCAAAGATTCTTCGCCGGCTAATTGCTTTCTCTTTCTTTCCTCCTCTTGGCATTTCCTTACTTTCTCTATACGAACATTAGCAATTTGTTGTAATAAATAAGTTAACAATTGTTTAGCTCGATTCTTATTCTCAAGATTCATAACAGCCAATTTTTCCTCTGCATTTTTTCGTCTTTGGTCTAATTCATTTTGCAACTGTAATTGCAATTGACGCAATCTTTCCCGTTTTTGCTGGCGTAGTTGTTGACGTTGATTTTTCTGCCTTCTTTTCTCTTGATATCTCTCCTTTCGCCGTTTTTCCTCTTCTAATTGCTGTCTACGTCGTTCTTCTTCTTGTCTTTTTCTTTCCGATTCTCGTTGCCTTTCTAATTCTTCTTTTTTTTGCTGTTCAAGTTTAGCTTTGTCATCAGCTTCCTTTTCTAATTGTTGTAATTTTAATTTTTCAAATCGCCTCTTTCGAATATTTTTGGAGTTTAAATGGCCAGTTTTATCGAAATCGACCTGTATCTTGGCCAGCATTTCCTTTTTTTGGCCATCTTGAGTACGATTTAATCGGTACTGTAGTTTCATACCTTTCAATTGGTGAATGGCTAGGCAAAATCCTTGATATTCTTCATATTGAATATATACTTTAAAATTCAATTGATTATTGAATGAAAATGTCTGAAATGGATTATCAGCACTTTTGTGATATTTATCCAGTAAAGGAATATGCAAGCAGCGAATGGTGCCAAATTTGCTAAATACTTGCATAACGATATCTTGATTGGGTTTATGATCTGTACTGTGGTGGCCAGGATCCATAAACCAGTAGCATGGTAAATTATCGATGACGACAGTATCCGGCCGTTCGCCATATTCAGTTTGATCCATGTCAGCAAAGAAAGATTCCCAATCATGCTGAGTAGGATAGTTGTCGCTTTTGTTTTCACTGGCTGAAAGGGCAAAAGCGCTGGAGAATCCACTCAATTTTAATTGTTTACCATTTAACATGTGGAGAACTGGCTTTTTGGACTGACGAGTCAATAATTCTCCCTCAAAAGTCACCATTTCTCGAGTAATGGACTCGACCTTGAGTAAGCTAAATTCATAGGGTTGAATAGCTGCTCGTAATTTTTCCATAATTTCCCAATTGGAGATGGATTTCCCAACTCCTTTTATCTCAGGTATTTGTGCCTTAATATTAATCCGACAATAAGGCTGTAAATACAATCCTCTTTCTTCACTTAACGTAATAATATCATCGGACATCTTGTTGCTGGTTACCATGTCGATAATCTATCTACTATAATCGTCTTAGCCTAGCTGGCTACAATCTTCCAAGAGCGATCCACCGTGATCGACTGTACTCCAGCACAGTCTCCCTTTTAGTTGGCCACTTGAGTAGGATAGAATGGAGCGTGCAGCGACCTCCAATAAAAATTCTACGATTGAGGCAAGTTGTAGCATGGAAATCCACTTGCAAGTGGAGAAGAGATGGATTGCTACTCGCTCCAAGGAGAAATTAACTGGCCAAACCAAGAATCAATCCACTGATCGACTCTGCTGTAGAATTTCGAGGCAGTCTACAGTATATCCAACTGCTGGTCTAGCGTCATCTACAGTACTAACACTGTGAACTCAGTCGTACTGTACACTGTATCAACCTAGTACTGTAACTTAGGGGGAAAATGGTGATAGGCATGGACTGAGAGTGCGTCGATCGTGTCATGGCTCTCCAATGGCATATTGGTAAAATACCTGAAATTGGCAATGGCATATTTGTAATTCTGAAATGATACAGTGGCAAAGGAGTAATAAATTCTAGTATCAATCCCTAGAGTTCATTACTGATTTGCCGCTGATGGGATTGATACTAGAATTCGTTGTAATATCAATCCCACAGTGGCAAATCAGTAATGAATTCTAATATCAATCCCTAGAATGAATTATTGATTTGCCATTGTTGGGATTGATACTAGAATTCATTCTAATATCAATCGCAACAGTGGCAAATCAGTAATTCATTCTAATATCAATCGCAACAGTGGCAAATCAGTAATTCATCCTAATATCAATTCCAACAGTGGCAACTTAGCAATTCATTCTAATATCAATCCCAACAGTGGCAAATCAGCAATTCAATCTAATATCAATCCCAACAGTGGCAAATCAGCAATTCATTCTAATATCAATCGCAACAGTGGTAAATCAGTAATGAATTCTAATATCAATTCCAACAGTGGCAACTCAGCAATTTATTCTAGTATGCATCCCAACAGTGGCAAATCAGTAATGAATTCTAATATCAATCCTTAGAATGAATTACTGATTTACCACTGTTGGGATTGATACTAGAATTCATTCTAATATGCATCCCAACAGTGGCAAATCAGCAATTCATTCTAATATGCATCCCAACAGTGGCAAATCAGCAATTCAATCTAATATCAATCCCGACAGTGGCAAATCAGCAATTCAATCTAATATCAATCCCAACAGTGGCAAATCAGCAATTCATTCCAATATCAATCCCAACAGTGGCAAATCAGCAATTCATTCCAATATGCATCCCAACAGTGGCAAATCAGCAATTCATTCCAATATGCATCCCAACAGTGGCAAATCAGCAATTCATTCCAATATCAATCCCAACAGTGGCAAATCAGCAATTCATTCCAATATCAATCCCAACAGTGGCAACTCAGCAATTCATTCTAATATCAATCCCAACAGTGGCAAATCAGCAATTCATTCCAATATGCATCCCAACAGTGGCAAATCAGTAATGAATTCTAATATCAATCCTTAGAATGAATGAATTACTGATTTGCCACTGTTGGGATTGATACTAGAATTGATTTCTTGTAATATCAATCCCAACCGACTGCTACAGTGTACAGTACTGCTCGCAGCCGTGCTGTCTTTCTACTGTACACTGTACACTGTACAGTACTGTACCCAGTGGTAGACAACACTATAAAGGAGTACTGGAGTCCATGTAGAGTAGAGTAGAGTATGCGTAGACTACCCTCCACCACTCGCTGTCCACTGCATGTACATGTACACTATGGCACTGCACTACCAGCATGGAACAGTTGCATCGAGGCCATGACAACACTGGTCCTCTTCGTCCATTCTTAACCTTCGACGTGATATCAACGATTCTAATCCAACATCTTACTCGATAATCCAATCAATACTGATCTACTTTTAAAGTGGCCACCAAACATGTTTAAAAAGTAAGCTTACTGCTGAATGCACCAGTGGATAACAGTGTATG